TATATACCTCTAACAGTCCTACTAGAATGCCTACACCTATATATACCTCTAACAGTCCTACTAGAATTCCTACACCTATATATACCTCTAACAGTCCTACTAGAATGCCTACACCTATATATATCTCTAACAGTCCTACTAGAATTCTTACACCTAGATACACTTCTAACAGTCCTACTAGGATTTCTATACCTAGATATACCTCTAACATCCTACTAGAATTCCTACATCTAGATATACTTCTAACATCCTACTAGAATTCCTACACCTAGATATACCTCTAACAGTCCTACTAGGATTTCTATACCTAGATATTCCTCTTACTGTCCTTCTAGGATTCCTACACCAAGATATACCTCTAACATCCTACTAGAATCCCTACACCTAGATATACCTCTAACATCCTACTAGAATTCTTTTACCCAAACATAAATGTGACAATCCAAATATAATTCTTAAACCTAGATGTACATAGGTAACAATCCTATTAGGATTACTTGAACTTCGAATTGCATCATAAGTCCAACTAGAATTTCTATACTGATGCATACAACAGTCCTACTGGAATTCCATTCATGTATATATAATCATTATACAAGAATGCAACTCCTGGTAACGTTAAAAATCAATCAATTTTGGTGATGAATCTATGTGAAAAGGAACGGACATTATGATACGTAGTCGTCAATGTTTGGTAGGTTTTAAATGCAATGCTAATACAGTTATTTGCAAATCGTGTTTTAATTCGAACAAGTCAAAGGAAAATCCAACAAAGAGTGCATGATTAACAAATCCAACAGGACTATAGAACATATTCTTTTTATTCTACTTCAGTAATCAGGAAGTACATGTCATGATCCAGAATGATTGAGACACCGTGTCTTGTATGTTACAGGAATGTAGACTAACAATGTATGGAACCACTTTGGGCTGTTTAAACAATGTTTAGTCAACCATGACATAAACTGTAGGAAAAGCCCCAACACGAACTAAATATCAATATACAATATAAAGAGGGTTTTTATATTTATAAAAGATGGCTGAAACGAATCTGAAATAATATTTTTCATTTTACCAGGAGTCTGGCGAGGCTGAAGAATACAATTGAAAATGTGTTCAATAAAACTCAAATGTAACAGAATAAATGTAATATATACTTCTTTAACACAAAACGTATATTATTGTTATGGAGATAAATGTGTACTGTCAATGTTACTTAGTGGTGGTAGGTCCCCTACCTTCTACCACAGAGATAAATGTGTACTGTCAATGTTACTTAGTGGTGGTAAGTCCCCTACCTTCTACCACAGAGATAAATGTGTACTGTCAATGTTACTTAATGGTGGTAAGTTCCCTACCTTCTACCACAGAGATAAATGTGTACTGTCAATGTTACTTAATGGTGGTAAGTTCCCTACCTTCTACCACAGAGATGAATGTGTACTGTCAATGTTACTTAATGGTGGTAAGTTCCCTACCTTCTACCACAGAGATGAATGTGCACTGTCAATGTTACTTAGTGGTGGTAGGTCCCCTACCTTCTACCACAGAGATAAATGTGTACTGTCAATGTTACTTAATGGTGGTAAGTCCCCTACCTTCTACCACAGAGATGAATGTGCACTGTCAATGTTACTTAGTGGTGGTAAGTCCCCTACCTTCTACCACAGAGATAAATGTGTACTGTCAATGTTACTTAGTGGTGGTAGGTCCCCTACCTTCTACCACAGAGATAAATGTGTACTGTCAATGTTACTTAATGGTGGTAAGTTCCCTACCGTCTACCACAGAGATAAATGTGTACTGTCAATTTTACTTAGTGGTGGTAAGTCCCGTACCTTCTACCACAGAGATGAATGTGTACTGTCAATGTTACTTAATGGTGGTAAGTCCCGTACCTTCTACCAGAGATAAGTTTGTACTGTCAATGTTACTTAGTGGTGGTAAGTTCCCTACCGTCTACCACAGAGATAAATGTGTACTGTCAATGTTACTTAGTGGTGGTAAGCTCCCTACCGTCTACCACAGAGATAAATGTATACTGTCAATGTTACTTAATGGTGGTAAACTCTCTACCTTCTACCACAGAGATAAATGTGTACTGTCAATGTTACTTAGTGGTGGTAAACTCCCTACCTTCTACCACAGAGATAAATGTGTACTGTCAATGTTACTTAGTGGTGGTAAACTCCCTACCTTCTACCACAGAGATAAATGTATACTGTCAATGTTACTTAGTGGTGGTAAACTCCCTACCTTCTACCACAGAGATAAATGTGTACTGTCAATGTTACTTAATGGTGGTAAACTCCCTACCTTCTACCACAGAGATAAATGTGTACTGTCAATGTTACTTATTGGTGGTAAGTTCCCTACCGTCTACCACAGAGATAAATGTGTACTGTCAATTTTACTTATTGGTGGTAAGCTTCTACCACAGAGATCAATGTGTACTGTCAATGTTACTTATTGGTGGTAAGCTTCTACCTTCTACGACACTATGGAGCTTAACGTTGTAACGTGCGGTTTGTTTTTACTACAACCCATTTTGTTACAATAATATCTGTAACCAAAATACATCCCAATTTGTTACAAATGTTATTATTTGTTGTAACAATCTGGCACGCTACAGAGCGTATACCTTGTACACGTGTGAACAGTTCATATGTTCCGAGCATGCATAATTTATTGTAACGGGTAGCCCATAGGAAGTGGCGTATTTCTCAATTCTGTTGACATGTGTGGAACCGTGAATGGTTCAATGTACATGTACAGTTCAGTGATTCTGGTGTAGAAATGTTGTTTTGCTTGTTGGTCGGTCTCATTCCTATCGTGTACATTTTAGAAAATCAAAAGAAACCATTCAACTTCTTTCTGTAAAAAATTCTACGTTTGACTTGAAATATCTAGTTTGTAAATGTCATAAAGCTGTTCGTCGTGTCTAAGTATAAAAGACACTTGTTTACCGAGCGATCCTATAGTAGTCCCTGAAAGATCAGCAATGGACGTGTGTACACAGGTTTTCGAGTGTGGATTCAAAATGTTTTCATTCGATTTTGCAGGTGTATCTCTTGCTGTACACACAGCCTGTGGTTTCTGTTGTACACAAAGCCTGTGGTTTCTGTTGTACATACAGCCTGTGGTTTCTGTTGTACATACAGCCTGTGGTTTCTGTTGTACACAAAGCCTGTGGTTTCTGTTGTACACACAGCCTGTGGTTTCTGCTGTACACACAGCCTGTAGTTTCTGCTGTACACACAGCCTGTGGATTCTGCTGTACATACAGCCTGTGGTTTCTGCTGTACATACAGCCTGTGGTTTCTGCTGTACAAACAGCCTGTGGTTTCTGTTGTACATACAGCCTGTGGTTTCTGTTGTACACACAGCCTGTGGTTTCTGCTGTACACACAGTCTGTGGTTTCTGCTGTACATACAGCCTGTGGTTTCTGTTGTACATACAGCCTGTGGTTTCTGCTGTACAAACAGCCTGTGGTTTCTGTTGTACATACAGCCTGTGGTTTCTGCTGTACAAACAGCCTGTGGTTTCTGTTGTACACACAGCCTGTGGTTTTTGTTGAACACACAGCCTGTGGTTTCTGCTGTACAAACAGCCTGTGGTTTCTGCTGTACACACAGTCTGTGGTTTCTGCTGTACACACAGCCTGTCGTTTCTGCTGTACAAACAGCCTGTGGTTTCTGTTGAACACACAGCCTGTCGTTTCTGCTGTACACACAGTCTGTGGTTTCTGCTGTACACTCAGTCTGTGGTTTCTGCTGTACACTCAGTCTGTGGTTTCTGTTGTACATACAGCCTGTGGTTTCTGCTGTACAAACAGCCTGTGGTTTCTGTTGTACACACAGCCTGTGGTTTCTGTTGTACACACAGCCTGTGGTTTCTGTTGAACACACAGCCTGTCGTTTCTGCTGTACACACAGTCTGTGGTTTCTGCTGTACACTCAGTCTGTGGTTTCTGCTGTACACACAGCCTGTGGTTTCTGCTGTACACTCAGTCTGTGGTTTCTGTTGTACACACAGCCTGTGGTTTCTGCTGTACACACAGCCTGTGGTTTCTGTTGTACACTCAGTCTGTGGTTTCTGCTGTACAAACAGCCTGTGGTTTCTGTTGAACACACAGCCTGTAGTTTCTGCTGTACACACAGTCTGTGGTTTCTGCTGTACACACAGCCTGTCGTTTCTGCTGTACAAACAGCCTGTGGTTTCTGTTGAACACACAGCCTGTCGTTTCTGCTGTACACACAGTCTGTGGTTTCTGCTGTACACACAGTCTGTGGTTTCTGCTGTACACACAGTCTGTGGTTTCTGCTGTACACTCAGTCTGTGGTTTCTGTTGTACATACAGCCTGTGGTTTCTGCTGTACAAACAGCCTGTGGTTTCTGTTGTACACACAGCCTGTGGTTTCTGTTGAACACAGCCTGTCGTTTCTGCTGTACACACAGTCTGTGGTTTCTGCTGTACACACAGTCTGTGGTTCCTGCTGTACACTCAGTCTGTGGTTTCTGCTGTACACACAGCCTGTGGTTTCTGCTGTACACTCAGTCTGTGGTTTCTGCTGTACACACAGCCTGTGGTTTCTGCTGTACACACAGCCTGTGGTTTCTGTTGTACACTCAGTCTGTGGTTTCTGTTGTACATACAGTCTGTGGTTTCTGCTGTACACTCAGTCTGTGGTTTCTGCTGTACATACAGATTATGTTTTCTGCTGCTAAGTCTTCATATAGAATATTTTAGTGTGATATATATTTGTGAGAAAATGTCTGTAACACGGTTATGATATAAATTACAGAGTTGGACAAGCTTTGTTGTAATATATTAAGGAGGAGTTATCTATATGTACAGGTTCACATAATGTGCTGGTTCGCTTGGGAATACTAACTTTGGTCAATGTCACAAGATTACGACACACAACGCTTTGACTAAAGTCTTTGGATTGCATTTCTTAAGTCACTTTACCATAATAATAATAATAGGGGTACTTACGTATATTTTGCCTTCCTTATATCTCGCTTTGAGGGTATTCTTTATCGTGTCGTTATCCAAAGTCCCAAGCTGCGCGAGATCATCCACGTCCGCCTCCGCCATCTCGGAGTCTTCTCACACACACACAAATTGTCACACCTGTCCTGGGATATTCTCAGCAATATAAGTATCTATTTTCTCGTACATGCGGCCATCTCTCAGCAACATCACAGAAGCGAATCTTACCCGTAAATAAAAAAACGATATTCTAAACGTTCAGGTGTATTGTAATGTTCAACAACTACGCTGTATAAAACAGCAATAATTGTCAAATGAGATCGACCATGGCTTGCTTCTCAGAACAAATAACTTCCTGGTTGGTCTGAATATCGAATTGGTGCTGTTCTCCTCAAATTAACCTTGTTAACATAACACATAAACTAATCAGTAAAACACATTAACCGCGTCCCTGCTAACTATCGACAATTGAACGATTCTGAGACAATAGAAACTGAATGGATGATCAGCGGGTATTCATCCGTCCATGCATATTGCGCAGAAGCCAGGTCTACTGTGGCGTGTACCAGGATTACAGACTTTGGTTGGATACACTCATTTACATATAAAAGGCTGGGTATATTTGTCGTCGGAGTTTAATTGTTTGTGTCTCCGTCCTAGGTAATCATTACAACCCGGAAGATATATAGAATTACACCGGGGTGAATACATAATCAGCGAGTCTACGTAAAGAAGGACTAATACGTGTTCGGGTGGGCCTTTAAAAATTTACATATTGTTGGAATTTTCTACATGGCTTGGCCAAAATAAAGACTTTCAACACAATCGCGTTTACACCTCCCTTAATGGGCGTATGAAATTGATATCAAACTGAAAAAAAATGACATAACTAAATCTATTTTAGGAGCTCTCCTTAGCTAATCATTGACTTAATCTACGATTTGTGTGTACGTAAGTCATGTCAAGAAAGCATGATACTAATGATTGTCAGGTGGACTGCGGTAACCTGAATGAAGAAGCGACCGCCATTTCAGCGATTACATCTAAACATGATATATATCTGTGTGTGTGGGGGGGGTGGGTGTCTCTCTCTCTCTCTCTCTCTCTCTCTCTCTCTCTCTCTCTCTCTCTCTCTCTCTCTCTCTCTCTCTCTCTCTCTCTCTCTCTCTCTCTCATATATATATACAAATATTCGTTGGATGCGTATTACTGGAATAGATATATGATCTATGAAGTAATAACGACAGTACGGACAAGCGAATTGTCAAATTTTCGAGGCAATCTACCCCTTTATCAAGACACAGATATTGCATAAATTCCATCACATACATAGAACATAAGATTTACACCACCGCTCTCGATTTAGATTCATAACTTTGTATTTGTTTTATGTTCTATGTATGTGATGTAGTTTGTGTAATATTTGCCTCGAAAATTTGACAATTCTCTTGTCCGTATTGTCGTTATTACGTCATTGATCATATATATATCTTCCTTCAAATCGCCTCACTTGACCATTCCCAAAATGTCTGGTGCCTCGGTTAATTCATCGATTCTCGCACATTGTTATCGGACGTCTTCAGTTTCGTCTACCCAGATCGGGTCAAAAAAGACTTACTTTTCATTATTTCCAGCTGAAATTTGTATACTATCACTGCTGGCACGATCAATTAGTGATTTTTAAACATCAAACCATCAACACATGTAATTTTGTCGAAATAGTTCGAACAGCCCAGTGAAACCTCATCCTTGCTTTGTGGCCAACCTACATTAACGATTCCTAGCTGTTTGCTTTCTGGAATTTCTGACACGTTTCTGGTAAAATTAACAAGGTGACTCGACACAGGATACTCCAGAGATTCTGATAAGTAAATGTAAATCTTGTTATCGCTATATCCTGAGACATACTGCACGTAAATGGATTTTTCTCAAATTTCATATGTAAATTTCCATTCGGTTTTATTTGAGCTCTTCAACATCGGGACAGGTAAAATGACAATAGGTTCCTCTTGTCCCTTGTTGTGTTTGTTTGATTTTTGGAGGGATGGATATTAAGAAAATAGTAGCGATATGATCCAACTGATCTAATAAAGACCTTAGTATGGTGGGCGTCAAGATCCCTGTGGGATCTCCTGTTTATATATATCTAACCTCTGCCTATTTCTGTTGATGTATCAGTATTTAATGTTTGGAGATTATGGAAGATATTTTGTGGTTTACAAAAGGTATTTTTTTTATTCTTATTTATTTATATTATAACTTACATATCAATTGTTATTTTAAGTACAAGTTTGATGTTTTCCTTTACTGAAGATCAATACTTAGAAATAAAGCCTTCTTATACTTTGAGATACACATAAAGAACTAGTTGTTCCGTTTTTCTCATTCTGTAACGCAAACAAGATTGTTTTCCTTTGTTTTTGTAAATAGTATAGGTGATGAGCATAAAAAGTCAATCGCTTGGAAGCTGATTTATCAGGAGGTTTCCATGACAATAGAAACCATTATACTGAATAAATACTTCGATGCGAGTAAAATCTCTCACCGAATTCCGCCTCGATTCCAAATTCAACAGTTCGCTCAACTTTACGGAGGGATCACAATTATTTATGAACTAAACAGCAACACACAATTGCTGAAATACAAATCTCGAGTATTTCTGAGTTTGGCGTAGTACTTGACCCGGTCATATTGTATTCAAAGTGATTGAAACCAAGTTTACAAATCGAAGCCGGTTAGTTATGTAAAACAGCAAGAAATACCATATCATAAAATACCAAATCTGAAAAATTTGAAGACGGATGGTCCACTTTTTGAAGTTAACTATGCATTTCACATCTAGGTATATTGCTCAGAAACTTTATCTTATCAAACCGGTAACTTGAGTTTCTTTTCCTTCTTAGTATATATAATATACATCCATGGTATAGATGTGTATTATTGTACATGACTAGATGATAACTTGTGATAACTGTGTAGATAAGTGCTCACCACATCGGCCGAGTTATCGGGCTACACTGTGCAGGACAGACCACCGATGGACCCACTTCATTGATACAAATAAACAGTGGAACGTTTTAAAAAAGAGATGGAGGATGAATACAAAATTTTAACAGTTCTTGTCATCTTAGCTGTTACAGCTGTACATAAAACAGGTAAGTAAAATAAGTCAGGGTTCTATTTTCCATCACGTGACACAATATTCCTGTGATAAAAGAAAGATCATACGTGTGATGATATAATGATATATCTGTGGGACGAGGACAGTTGATTTACAAGGGCCACTTACAGGTAGCTATTACATACGGGTATGTCTGTATATATAACACTATGTTTAGTCTCAGTAGCTGGTATGTCTGTATATATAACACTATGGTTAGTCTCAGTAACTGGTATGTCTGTATATATAACACAATGTTTAGTCTCAGTATGACTGTATATATAACACTATGTTAAGTCTCAGTAACGATATGTCAGTATATATAACACAATGTTTAGTCTCAGTATGTCTGTATATATAACACAATGTTAAGTCTCAGTAACGGGTATGTCTGTATATATAACACAGTGTTTAGTCTCAGTAACGGGTATGTATGTATATATAACACTATGTTTAGTCTCAGTAACGGGTATGTCTGTATATATAACACTATATTTAGTCTCAGTAACGGTATGTCTGTATATATAACACTATGTTTAGTCTCAGTAACGGTATTTCTGTATATATAACACAATGTTTAGTCTCAGTATGTCTGTATATATAACACTATGTTTAGTCTCAGTAACGGTATGTCAGTATATATAACACAATACTTAGTCTCAGTATGTCTGTATATATAACACAATGCTTAGTCTCAGTATGTCTGTATATATAACACAATGTTTAGTCTCAGTATGTCTGTATATATAACACAATGTTTAGTCTCAGTAACGGTATGTCTGTATATATAACACTATGTTTAGTCTCAGTAACGGTATGTCTGTATATATAACATAATGTTTAGTCTCAGTAACGGGTATGTCTGTATATATAACACTATGTTAAGTCTCAGTATGTCTGTATATATAACACTATGTTTAGTCTCAGTAACGGTATGTCTGTATATGTAACACAATGTTTAGTCTCAGTAAAGGGTATGTCTGTATATATAACACTATGTTTAGTCTCAGTAACAGTATGTCTGTATATGTAACTCAATGTTTAGTCTCAGTAACGGTTATATCTGTATATATAACACTATGTTAAGTCTCAGTATGTCTGTATATATAACACTATGTTAAGTCTCAGTAACGGGTATGTCTGTATATATAACACAATGTTTAGTCTCAGTAAAGGGTATGTCTGTATATATAACACTATGTTTAGTCTCAGTAACGGGTATGTCTGTATATATAACACAATGTTTAGTCTCAGTAAAGGGTATGTCTGTATATATAACACTATGTTTAGTCTCAGTAACGGTATGTCTGTATATATAACACAATGTTTAGTCTTAGTATGACTGTATATATAACACTATGTTTAGTCTCAGTAACGGGTATGTCTGTATCTATAACACTATATTTGTCTCAGTAACGGGTATGCCTGTATATATAACACTATATTTGTCTCAGTAACGGGTATTTTTGTATATATAACACTATATTTTTTCTCAGTAATGTATTTCATTTAACTGTGTTATTGGTTTGTCTAATATCATTGTATGTATAGCACTGGGACTTGTCCCGGTACTTAACTGTATGATAATGAGGACTTGTCCACGTACATTACTGTATGATAATGTGAACTTGTCCAGGTACTTTACTGTGTGATAATGTGATCTTGTCCAGGTACTTTACTGTGTGAAAATATATGGAATTTTCCCACTACTTTACTGTATGATACTGTGGATTTGTCCCGGTACTTTTCTGTGTGATAATGTGGACTTGTCCCGGTACTTTACTGTGTGATAATGTGGACTTGTCCAGGTACTTTACTGTGTGATAATATGGACTTGTCCCTGGTACTTTACTGTGTGATAATGTGGACTTGTCCAGGTACCTTACTGTGTGATAATGTGGACTTGTCCACGTACTTAACTGTGTGATACATTAAGGAAGTTGGACGTTTTCAATCCGATATCACCACTTACTACCATATCACAATGACAAATTGTTTGAAAGACAACAATCCAGGATATCAGATATGACGTAAGTTCTATTTCTAACATTCGAACTATTTATTTTAGTATACAACTATTTATATACTTATCAGGTTGTTCTAGTCACAATGATGTCCCCGCCTATGCCAGGCTCAGCCATGAGGTGCCTGCCAGTGTCTCCACAGAATCCCCGGACCAAACACGTGAACGATATACTAGAGATCACGTTTCATCAACATCGGCACTCAGTATATCATCGCCTGCAACGATTCCTTCATTGAAAACCGCGTCGTCCCCACCGGCCAGTATATCGACATCCACCCTATCTAAAGTGTCACATTCAACAAAAATGTCGCCAAACATTAGTGACGAGACTACAACAAGGTCCAGTGTTACGAAGACGTTCTTGTCTTCCACTTCCGCCTCCTCATCTGAGTCTTACTCGCAAGAATCGTCTTCTGCTGCGATTTCTCGTAGTTCAACAATCACCATGGTTCCGTCCGTTTATATGACGTCAGACACAACATTATCTACAATCACTAGGTACGGGTATAGATACCGCAATAGGCAGGTAGCATAAGGGATTTTTTCGCCTGCTATAGGATATTATTATAGAAATACATGACATAATAAAAGACAAATGCTGAAATTTAATAATGATAATGATAATCATCGTCATAATAAACTGTCATTCATTTTACCAGTACAAAGTAACAAATACCGTTATAATACACTGTCATTCATTTTACCAGTACAAAGTAACAAATATTACCGTTATAATACACTGTCATTCATTTTACCAGTACAAAGTAACAAATATACCGTTATAATACACTGTCATTCATTTTACCAGTACAAAGTAACAAATACCGTTATAATACACTGTCAATTCATTTTACCAGTACAAAGTAACAAATACCGTTATAATACACTGTCATTCATTTTACCAGTACAAAGTAACAAATATTACCGTCATAATACACTGTCATTCATTTTACCAGTACAAAGTAACAAATATTACCGTCATAATACACTGTCATTCATTTTACCAGTACAAAGTAACAAATATTACCGTCATAATACACTGTCATTCATTTTACCAGTACAAAGTAACAAATATTACCGTCATAATACACTGTCATTCATTTTACCAGTACAAAGTAACAAATATTACCGTTATAATACACTGTCATTCATTTTACCAGTACAAAGTAACAAATATACAGTTATAATACACTGTCATTCATTTTACCAGTACAAAGTAACAAATATTACCGTCATAATACACTGTCATTCATTTTACCAGTACAAAGTAACAAATATTACCGTCATAATACACTGTCATTCATTTTACCAGTACAAAGTAACAAATATTACCGTTATAATACACTGTCATTCATTTTACCTGTACAAAGTAACAAATATACCGTTATAATACACTGTCATTCATTTTACCAGTACAAAGTAACAAATATTACCGTCATAATACACTGTCATTCATTTTACCAGTACAAAGTAACAAATATACCGTTATAATACACTGTCATTCATTTTACCAGTACAAAGTAACAAATATTACCGTTATAATACACTGTCATTCATTTTACCAGTACAAAGTAACAAATATACCGTTATAATACACTGTCATTCATTTTACCAGTACAAAGTAACAAATATTACCGTCATAATACACTGTCATTCATTTTACCAGTACAAAGTAACAAATATTACCGTCATAATACACTGTCATTATATTAGATGTACAAAGTAACAACACACTTCCGTCATATTTTACAGTAGTCTATTTTAGCAGTACAAAGTAACAATAAAATACAGCTGTTATACTCTGTCATCAACGTGTATATTTTCTGTCTTACAAAGTGACCGTACTGTTGCCATCCGCGTCTACCCATCTCACTCATCTGCGGAACACACAGCGGGTAGGTATATCATGGAGTCTCCGCCCTGACGGCAGCAATGCTTTACAATAATATATCGATGTTTGGACAATTCACTGCGGAAGTGTATAATGTTATTGTATGGGTATATATGTTTATTTACAAAGATATCTTAGTTTGTTACATAGATGGATAAACGATCATAAGTATATCTGTACGTTACCCTGTGTTATCACTATTTTACATTTGTTGTCGTTAACCTAGGTATCATCGCTGGTGTCGTCTCCTCTCTCATTGTTGTTATCCTACTGGTGGCTGCAGTATTTTACTTTAAACGAAGGTAAGCAGGTCATATCGAAACCTTTTACGACTAGACTTCGTTTTTTATCAAATATCTTATATCTTAGATTGTCACAAAACCCTCAACTTGAAAAAAACATGTAGCGTCCCAGTGTGAGTGTGAGTCTAATTCCGCCAAACTTTGAATTTTTATTGTAACTAGCTTTCATAAAGTACACCTTGACACATCAATCATCTAAAACATAACTCCTATATTTTACGGGCCAGCAACACAGATTTTAAAGATGCTAGTAAGCTGTATTTTACGGCCCAAAAACACAAAGTCCAGAAAGTTCTAAGGGTTTTGGGAAGTTGGGAAGAATTTTCGCAGTTTATACAACAGCTTAATGGAGAAGTGTTGTATTTTCAAGTTTTGTTGAAGTCGTGATTTCTTTCCTTTCTAAATTTATCTTAAGGTTTTTTATGACGGTTTTATTCGTCCCCGACAATAGGAATCGTTAGAGTATCTCATGTAACTTGACTTACTCACCCTTCAACCCATTGTTTCATACTCTAATCTGTTGTTGTTTAAGAGTCAAAATCACAGGAAAACGTACCCATAATTAGTCAACATGAAACCAGTCACTGTCCTATTTGTTGAAACAAATGGTGATGTGTTGAAATTATCACTAATTCTTGTTATTTTGTTTATCTTTCATACTGTGACGTCAGACAAAGGCAAAAGTCCGCCGTTGAAGACCTAAAGGTTAACTACGAGAGTGAAAAATTTGAGGATATAACGGACACCGACTATGACGTCATAGCGATTTCTAGCTCCAATTATGATAAGCTTGAGAACGCTGATGTAGGTGAAAACCAGTACACCATGATAGTACGGGGAACAGGAGGAAATGAAATCCCTGAGGAAGATGTAGTCTCTCTAGATGACTCCTCGTCGTATGTTCTACCCAATGACTTCGGCATTGTTTCTAGCGTCCGGGCTAAAGTGAATGGCGTTACCAATAAATATGAAAACACAATGTTTTCTGTGGATATTAAAGACGATTTTGCACCAATTAAGGATGATGATGATTATATCCAATTTTCTGAAGGCAATGACCAAATACCTCATAAAACGTCATAGAGCTAAATGGACTACTTCTCTAACAAACATTTGTTGTATGGAAAATTTTAGCATAAAGAAGTTAATTCCATATGTCTAATGTTTTAACAACTGGTCTCGAACACTCTAAGTACTCTGGAAGTCAGACTCTGGAGGTCGAGGTCGGACTCTAGAGGGACTCTGAAAGTCGGACTCTGAGGTCAGATTCTGGAGGTCAGACTCTGAAAGTCGGACTCTGAGGTCGGACTCGGGAGGTTGGAATCTGGAGGCCGGACACTGAGGTCAGACTCTGGAGGTCAGACTCTGAGGTCGGACTCTCGAAGTCGGACTCGGGAGGTTGGAATCTGGAGGCCAGACTCTGAGGTCGGACTCTGGAGGGTCGGACTCGGGAGGTTGGAATCTGGAGGCCGGACTCTGAGGTCGGACTCTGGAGGTCGGACTCTGGAGGTCAGACTCTGGAGGTCGGACTCTGAGGTCAGACTCTGGGGGTCAGACTCTGAGGTTTAGTTTTTCATTCTTGGGAATGTACCAAGCCTCTGTGGATCGGATGTTTAAACACTATTCCCTTACTCCCGAGCCTGTCACCACTCAACTAAACAACAAATATGTCAAAGACTTAAAATTGAATAATTGGAATAAAATCAGTCATTCATTAGGAAAAATTACAAATGTAGAAATCAGATGGGAATGTATCGTTCCGTAAATTCAGAGCAAAACTTTTAAAATTAAGAAACGCATGCACAGTAGGTATAATTAACAGTCTGTAACAACCGATGTTTGAAAAAGTAAGTTGTAGTGAAACATCCGTAGTCTGTCTCACTTGGTGACGAGGTAACATGTCTGTCTGTCGTCCAACTTGGTGTCGATATAATGTAACTGTCTGACGTCCAACTTGGTGGCGAGGTAACATGTCTGTCTGTCGTCCAACTTGGGGTTGAGGTAATGTACCTGTCTATCGTCCAACTTGGTGTCGAGGCAATGTAGCTGTCTGTCGTCCAACTTGGTGTCGAGGTAATGTACCTGTCTGTCGTCCAAATTGGTGTCGAAGTAAAGTGACTGTCTGTCGTCCAACCTGGTCCAACTCAAGTCGAAGTGGTAACACGACACACTGCTGCTATAATTAAGGTATATTTGAGACTAGAACAGATTGACATTCATGTAAAGAAGTACAATATATATCAACTAAGTCTCCGTGTCAAACTGAAGATATGTTTAGTGGAGTTTAAAATCCAATTTATTGCTTCGGATAAGTACATTAATGTATATGACGTCATCGAACAATTTTAACTTTATGTAAATGCACGAAGATATGGTCACAATACACAAACATTTTTGTTCAAACCACGTGATTGATGTACAACTTGACCGTATATCTATAAACACACGGATCATTTGTGGTGATGGAAGGGAGGTAAACGTCGCTGAGCTTGTGTCAAAGCGGAAGTGGAGAACGCATAACGAAAATTAATATTGCGACACAGAATATGGGGTATCAGTTGGAATGAAACATGCGAACTAACTAAATGCATTAAGTTTGAATCGAGTATATCAATCTAGGACGATACATATCTGAAAGTTTGTAAATAACGGAAGACAGGGTGAGACAAAAAAGTTTTTAAAAATGGTATCAAGATTGTGTATCCTGTCAGTGTGCTGCTTGAGTGAGCTAGATGACAGAATTCAAAAGTAGAATATTGTTAATTATAAGTTTTCTATCACACGTGCGGCTCAGATAATTCACATATATAATGACAAAGCACAAATTTTTTTCTTATATTTGAGTGAAATGGACATTTTTGGAGTAAAAAATGTTTGGATCTGTAAAGAGTTGTTATTAAGTGTATGCAATGGTCATCTTCATCTCCATCTTCTGGTCCCGAAACGGCGTCGATCTGTTCATCTCACATATCATATAACCATTCGATTCTGGTTTCTAGCATATATTGGTACCAAGCTTGTAAAATACAATTGTCAGAATATTTTAAGAACAGATATTTTTATACCGAGGACAATGCTTGCTACCTTGCATTGCTATTTCTTATTGTGTTTTATTTCTATCGCTGAAAGGAAGCATACCTCCCAAGTAATTAAGTCCATCAACTTTTTCTTAAACATCGATATCTATTGCCTGTATCATGTTATATGAGATTTCCTTTTTTAAAAATCCATCAGAATAATATTTTCATATTTCAGTGTGATCCAGAGGTGAAACGAATTACAAATATGAGAATGAGACATAATGCGCAGCCAAACGCAAAGACATTTTTATATATGTACCGACATTCCAGAAATAGTATGTAACACTGATTTCTGAGACTGTGACCAAACAAGCACTGTCCTAGGGTCATATTAGCTTCCGTCTTTACTGGCTCGTTGGTTATAACCCAAAATGTTATTACCATTGATTTCATGGTACAAAACTCCCATATATCTGAATTATTAAATAGCTTATCAATTATGGAAACTGTAAAGTATCAATATAATGACATATGGAAATGTTGTCAACATTACTGTATGTATACTGGGAATATGTCCGGTAAGACATGCGGGACTTATAAAACACAGAGTTATCACGAAGACGACGACGACGACGATGGTTTCGTAAAGTATATATACAAATCACGCATTCATTTTGTAGATACAGGGGTAATGTATATATATATTGGTCTTTATCAAAGGTTAAACTATTCATTTTATCAACAATTCTCTGACTATGTCTATGAAATGACAAATTACCAACAGAGACTAAGTGACATATCATTTTAATTTTGTTATATCATAACTATACCATGTTCTTATTTCTTAATTTTGGATAATTGGTGACCTAAAGGTTGGAGCCCAAACGGGGATTCCGTCCAAATTTTATCTGAAGTATCCATAGGTGAAGAGAACTCAGTTTTGTGTGGGTTCGTACCTCTGGGTCAGCAGGAGAGGGTTCCAAAAACGGAAATAGATGATAATTCTTTAAAACCTTTTTTTTCTGTAATAAAGTCAGGATTCCGTCCAAGTTTGGTATGAAGCATCCTTAGAATGGAAATTATTAATTTCTTTTGTAAACGTTGGGTCGTGGTCCCATTGGGAAGGAAGGTAAGGATACAATATGGATATTAAGCTTTTTTATCATGTCAAAATATTGGAAGCTTTGTTTAATTTATACGCTAAAAGGCAGTTCTAATACTCCATGTAAAATAAAGCTAAGTAGATGGCAAGTGATGAAAAACACTGTGTTTTGTACTGTTTTTAGAGGAAGAAAAGACAGGTATAGATAAGAAAAGACAGAAAAGACAAGAATGTGCTTAAGGAGTTGTAAAGGTTGATTACAATTAAATTATCATACATCAATACAGCTGGTCGACAGAAAATATCAGGGACTAATACAAGACTAGCTATACATCAATACAGCTGGTCAACAGCAGATATCAGGAATCAGGAACTAATACAAGACTAGCTATACATCAATACAGCTGGTCAACAGCAGATATCAGGAACTAATACAAGACTAGCTATACATCAATACAGCCGGTCAACAGCAGATATCAGGAACTAATACAAGACTAGCTATACATCAATACAGCTGGTCAACAGAAGCTATCAGGGACTAATACAAGACTAGTTATACATCAATACAGCTGGTCGACAGAAAATATCAGAGACTAATACAAGACTAGCTATACATCAATACAGCTGGTCAACAGAAGCTATCAGAGACTAATACAAGACTAGCTATACATCAATACAGCTGGTCAACAGAAGCTATCAGGGACTAATACAAGAATAGCTATACATCAATACAGCTGGTCAACAACAGATATCAGGAACTAATACAAGACTAGCTATACATCAATACAGCTGGTCGACAGAAAATATCAGGGACTAATACAAGACTATCTATACATTATTTACCTTTTAACTAGAAAGTCACTAATCTTCTTTTCTATTTTTTTCCATTTTGTCTTAAAAGTTCAAAAGATAATTTCCACGTTGGCCAACAACTGTATCAATATGAGAGTGGTGAATATATCTTTAATTAGCTTCTATAGGGCAGGATAAATCAAGCTTCGAACAGGATCATCATTGCCTCTTAACAGCGATAGTTCTTGGTCAGGGGATTTGTAGAGATTGTAATAAGTACAGTTATAGGAGGGAGACTGCGACGATTATTGAGCAGTAGGGTGTTGGTGAATGTGGTGATAGTATTGAGCAGTAGGATGATGGTGGATGTGGTGATAGTATTGAGTGACTGAGTAAAGATTGGTAATGCGACTTAAACATTTTTAACAAGGAAAATGTCCTTTCCTCTGACTCTTTGAAAACTTAAACTTGTTCAACATTCCTATCTTTCGATATAGTTGTAACACATTTATCATTGAAGATAAGGTTCTTTGAAACGAGATGCCCTTTTTTTAAAAAGAAACATAATGATCAATTAGAGGTTACTGGACTAAAGGTTAAGTTTAAATATCAGATAAATTTGACTGATAAGTAATATATAATTTACTACCACCACGTGGAGGTTCCCTCTTGATACAAAGTTGACTACCAACACGTGGAGGTTCCATCTTGATACAGCGTTGACTAACACCACGTGGAGGTTCCCTCTTGATAAAGCGTTGACTACCACCACGTGGAGGTTCCCTCTTGATACAGCGTTGACTAACACCACGTGGAGGTTCCTTCTTGATACAATGTTGACTACCACCACGTGGAGGTTCTCTCTTGATACAACGTTGACTACCATCACGTGGAGGTTCCCTCTTGATACGGCGTTGACTACCACCACGAGGAGGTTCTCCTTGATACAGCGTTGACTACCACCACGTGGAGGTTCCCTCTTAATACATCGTTGACTAACACCACGTGGAGGTTCCCTCTTGATACAGCGTTGACTAACACCACGTGGAAAGGTTCCCTCTTGATACAGTGTTGACTAACACCACGTGGAGGTTCCCTCTTGATACAGCGTTGACTAACACCACGTGGAGGTTCCCTCTTGATACAACATTGACTACCACCACGTGGAGGTTCCCTATTGATACAACGTTGACTACCACCACGTGGAGGTTCCCTCTTGATACAGCGTTGACTACCACCACGTGGAGGTTCCCTCTTGATACAGCGTTGACTAACACCACGTGGAGGTACCCTCTTGATACAGCGTTGACTACCACCACGTGAAGGTCCCCTCTTGATACAGCGTTGACTTCCACCACGTGGAGGTTCCCTCTTGATACAGCGTTGACTACCACCACGTGGAGGTTCCCTTTTTAGGTAGATAGTCTTAAATATATAATATTTCAGTTATTTTCGAAGTATTTAATTTGGTTTCTCCTTTGACTGCTAGGACACTGCTTTTTCTCAATATAGGAGGTGCTGTATTGACAGATAATTTTCATAAACTTCCATGTTTATCAGCTATAATCACTAATGTATATTATAGACAAAAGAGAACCTAATACCCTGCCTTGAAGAAGTCCGGCATTATCAGATTAACTAATGATATAGTAATAGCAAAATATAGTTATCTAACCAATCTAAAAATTAACATGAAATAACGTAGTTTTTAAATTTCACTTTCGGTTCCTTGTGCCTCAAAGGGTCGAGCGCTTTTTATTTATCACAGAAAACTAAACAATCAGGACCTTTCTTTCAAATTTTCCACATAAAGTATGGAATAATTCTACGATTTGATACACTGTTCGGTGACCCAGCTGAAAAATAGAATGACATTTCTGTATCAGGGAATGATCCACTAATTGACTATTTTAACTTTTAAATATGAATCTCTAGAAAACTTTCCCAACGGTGCTGAGTAATAATATTGGTTCGAAAACTCATATATATCTCTCTTTCTAGATAACGGAATATGACTTATTTTTCTACTGTTTTGCAAAGATACCTGTTTCCGAAGAAAACAACAGATAGAGAAAAGGCTACGGCGTCCGTCCTAAGTTCTACAGCTGGTACGTCAGATATGGTGGCGTCCGTCCTAAGTTCTACAGCGGGTACGTCAGATATGGTGGCGACCGTGCTAAGTTCTACAGGTGATACGTCAGATATGATGACGTCCGTGCTGTTCTACAGCTGGTACGTCAGATATGGTGGCGTGCGTCCTAAGTTCTACTGCTGGTACGTCAGACATGGTGGCGTCCGTCCTAAGTTCTACAGCTGGTACGTCAGATATGGTGGCGTCCGTGCTAAGTTCTACAAGTGGTACGTCAGATATGGTGGCGTGCGTGTTAAGTTCTACAGTTGTTACGTTATAACACAACCAGTAGAAGTTTAGAGTGTGATGTTTCCATGACTACACAGTCACCTTCATCTCCTAACCCAACCGATAGAAGATTAGAGTGTGATGTTTCCATGACTACACGGTCACCTTCATCTTATAACACAACCAATAAAAGATTAGAGTGTGATGTTTCCATGACTACACGGTCACCTTCATCTTATAATACAACCAATAGAACATTAGAATGTGATGTTTCCATGACTAGTCTTCTTCATCTCATAACGCAACCAGTAGAAAATTAAAATGTGATGTTTCCATGACTACACTGTCACCTTCATCTTATAACACAGTTGATGAAGTTTAAAATAGATAGTTTAGAATCGACCATTTTTCCACATGTACTATATTCATACGTACATTTAAATCCAAAACAGTATATATATAATGGTCTTGTGTTCTTTTTGTTCTATTATCTACTGTTTCGTCATCATACTGATATATACATATTAAGGTAACAGTTTAGTCCTTGAAAGGTCACACTCAAATTTTCTACTGGTTGTGTAGCAAGAACTTCTACTCTAAAAACCCGTCCATGTTAATTAATCAATTGTATCGCATCGCTTTTGTTTTTATGAAAACACGTCACTACAAATACGTTAATGCTATGATAACGCAGACTTATGGTAGTAAAGAAGATTAAAGTTTAAAGTTGTCTAGGTTTTTTGTGTAAACTCTTTGTAAAAATATATCATCTATTAAACAAGCGACAAGAAAAATTGTTGAATGTAGAACAGATGGTCCAAGGACGCCTGAAGGTATACACATTGATAAGGAACCATGGTAGAAGGATGTGTTTAATGAAACATTGCATTTTCATCATGGGAAATGCATAGACCATAAAAATAATCAACAGAAATGTTTTTGATCAGTAAGCTTTCACCAAAGCTTATACACTTTTATCGGCAATCCAGGACAGCAGCTACTTTTGAACGTTTAGAGCATGATAAAGCACCGTTATGAATTGATCAGCATTGAAATTCTAATCCTACAGACATGTGGTGGAAAGCACTTCACTGTCATGACTAGATGTGAATAGAAAGCTCTAAAAGGAGTCCGAACACTTCACACTGGGTCCTTGGAGTAATGAATGTCTGTTAGAGTCCATTAAAAGCTCCACAGGACCTTGTTCTTTGTATTCACTTCTGCTTCTATACATGCAACTGACTTCAAATACGTTTTGAAATGACAGCTTTTTATCAAAACAGAGGATCTTCCTGACTAGAAGAAATATTCTTCAAATATCTGCGGATCGACGTAACTTGGTCGTGGAATTTTAAACCCGTCTCCGGAATTCAGTTGCTCAAGGCTGAAATAGAGATTAAGAATAATCAGTACACCACATCAAGCACAGAATTATTTTATCGTACGTCTAGGAATTTAAACCACATGGGATATTTTGAGGCCAGAAACATTTCCAATTACTGTTTAATTGTTTTCAGTATGAGGATGTGTAACACATGATCTAATACTTCGAAATTACTTTAAAGATAAAACTTCATATCAGCTACCGAAATTTTCATCATCTTGTATCACGGAAATAAAGCTTTGATTGTAATGTGAAAAAATAAGAAATCAAGCTCTCCTAATCAGTATATATAGTCGTAGATCACAGGAAAGGAAGTTTTGTCAGTAAAATCATTATACACTAACATACCACAGGATAACCGAACCATAGTAAAATTGTTAACGATTAGAGGCAAGCAAATGACGGCCCTCAAAACAAAGAGATTGCAGCCACAGTATCACAATATACCTACTAACTGAAAAATCAGAATTTGCTTTTACATTGTATCAATTAAAGCCATATCGAGATTATCGTGTTTCTATTATTGAATGTTTTATAATCTTTCATCAGATAACCCTACATCTTTAATCGTGTTTTATCATTGAATCTTTTAATTATCTCTCATCTCATCACCCTATATATTTTCCCCACTTTGCAATTTTTAATTCGATCATTCCATCTTTGAATGGGCCATATTTCCAAGCAAGTTCTCATTCACTTACATTTCCAAGAACTCCTCATTCTCAAACATAGGCCTTGGAATGTTTGACGGGGGGAATATAATGTGTAGATCTACTGGAGTAGACTCCCTGAAAAATGAAACAAAAAATAAGGTTAGTTATAGATATGACAATGAATTGACGTTGCTAGAAAAGAAATGGTTCTTTACTCAGAGAAATACATAAATGATTCACTGTATAGCAACCTCGAATCGGTATAATTATACCTGTTCACAACTCTAATGAACTATAATATAATTATATATAATACATTTCCATTTCGGTTGGCAGACATAAGTCCGTGTTTTAGGACCAGGCCTTATTCCTTTTTTTAATGAATGTGTCGTCGATGGATCATTTAGATATCAGTAAGTAAGGAGCTAAATGTTTAAATATCCTTTTATTTGTTTTAGAGGAAATCATAAATATCATAAATAATTATGAATTAATAATTATCAATCCATTTCAACACAAAGCAAGTTACAAAATTTCAAATGCTCTACAAAAGACACAAAAATAAATAATCGAATACAACAGAGTCAATTAGCTGATAAAACTATCATGCAGTTGTTTCATCCTGAGGTAAGGGTTAAGTCTAAGGGCCTAAATGTTGGATTTTGAATCTGTACATATCAAATGCATTATGACGTCATCGTTTAATGAATAATATGACTTTGCAAAATTTTAAGATACCTGTTCCAGTCTTTATAAGCAAAACAAATTACACCCGCATCATGTAAAATAAAAAGAGAAGCAAGCATTTAATTGGTCTTTATCGCAAACCTGATTTTAAAATAGTTTCGTGTCTTCCCGCATGTGATGTTTAAGAGTCGTCATTGTTATTAGTACAAGAAAAAGATTTAAACAATTTCCTGTCATTTCCACTATATAGACCCACACTGGTATCTTCAGAGACCCTAAAACGATGGATAAAATCGTATCTATATCCTTTAACTATAGTCTTCAAACTAAATTGCTGTTAAATCCTATGATCGATACAGGAAACATTTTAAATTCTATATTCATGAGAAACTGCATTCGACAGCATTCCAAGCTGTACAAATCTTAACCCGGGTTAAAGGTTTCCAGATTTTCTCTTTAAAAAGTATGTTTTCAGTCTATATCTCATTAGACGTTTCTTTGTTTACATGTTCATTAACTAGTGTGTTCCTAGACTCTCCTAGAATGTTTGATATCTAGTGTGTTCCTAGACTCTCCTAGAATGTTTGATTAATTAAATAATATCTAGTGTGTTCCTAGACTCCCCTAGAATGTTTGATATCTAGTGTGTTCCTAGACTCTCCTAGAATGTTTGATTAATTAAATAATATCTAGTGTGTTCCTAGACTCTCCTAGAATGTTTGATATCTAGTGTGTTCCTAGACTCTCCTAGAATGTTTGATATCTAGTGTGTTCCTAGACTCTCCTAGAATGTTTGATTAATTAAATAATATCTAGTGTGTTCCTAGACTCTCCTAGAATGTTTGATATCTAGTGTGTTCCTAGACTCTCCTAGAATGTTTGATATCTAGTGTGTTTTGATATCTAGTGTGTTCCTAGACTCTCATAGAATGTTTGATATCTAGTGTGTTCCTAGACTCTCCTAGAATGTTTGATATCTAGTGTGTTACTAAACTCTCCTAGAATGTTTGATATCTAGTGTGTTCCTAGACTCTCCTAGAATGTTTGATATCTAGTGTGTTCCTAGACTCTCCTAGAATGTTTGATTAATGAAATAATATCTAGTGTGTTCCTAGACTCTCCTAGAATGTTTGATATCTAGTGTGTTCCTAGACTCTCCTAGAATGTTTGATATCTAGTGTGTTCCTAGACTCTCCTAGAATGTTTGATTAATTAAATAATATCTAGTGTGTTCCTAGACTCTCCTAGAATGTTTGATATCTAGTGTGTTCCTAGACTCTCCTAGAATGTTTGATTAATTAAATAATATCTAGTGTGTTCCTAGACTCTCCTAGAATGTTTGATATCTAGTGTGTTCCTAGACTCTCATAGAATGTTTGATATCTAGTGTGTTCCTAGACTCTCCTAGAATGTTTGATATCTAGTGTGTTCCTAGACTCTCCTAGAATGTTTGATTAATTAAATAATATCTAGTGTGTTCCTAGACTCTCCTAGAATGTTTGATTACATAATATACCCATGTTAACTTTGCAGCTTTACCAACTAGCAATGTACTAAACAAAGGGCTGAAGAAGTTTAAAGTTATTATTGCATTTGACATGTTATCTTGAAGGTAGGCCAAAGTCGGGGTTTTTTTTAAACAAATTGGTATCACTTCAACCCAATGTGCTTGGAACCAAACATCAGCACCCTGGGCTTTTTGGTAATGAAAAGTTGTGACTTTTGGGCGGCAACTTTCTATATATATATATATATATGTGTGTGTGTGTGTGTGTGTGTGTGTGTGTGGAATTAATTAACTTACTCCTCTACAATGATTTTTCTCGGTTTTCGTCGTTGATATTGACATATCAAGCATATCACAATGATAGTGGCGAGAATACCAATACCAAAACCTCCTAAGCTGTAAATGATGATTTCTTGTGAATGCCCATCATCAGTCTGTACCACTACAAGCAGAACGTGTCATAGATACTTTAAAACGTGCCACAAAAACACATTCAATGAAACAGTGACTTATAATGTTAAGAGAAATTTTACTAACGCATACTTTTTTCGGAATTTAAAACATTATTCACATTATACGTTTTTAAATATCGAAAGTTGAATATGGTATCCTCATTTTTATATGGCTTAATTCTATAAGAAAAGAAAGTATTTAAAACCTGTTGCTTTTAAATCATGTTTGACTACGTTCAATGACAATAGCGTATACATTCAGTTTAAAAGTGATTACCTTTTTCTGCACATACTATACTGGTTCCGGACCATCTCCCATTTTCCTTACATGTCTGTCTGTGATCACCACTGAGAGCGACGAAGCCAGGCAGACATTCTAATGTAACGTTCGCTCCAGGAAAGTAACCGGTGATATTTTTCACACCATTCTCAGGTGTGTCTAAGTAAGGGCATCTCACCACTGAAGACAAAATCAAAGCATTGACATTACTGCAATTATTACAGTGACATGTTTTGAAAATATTTGACAATAAACCAATATTAAATTTTGTATTGACGGTACTGACTGATTTATTCAATGACCATCGCACATAAGTATTAAACAAGTAGACAAAGGAAAATTGTTCCCGAAGTAAAGCATCAAACTCACACTGACTCGGAGACTAAAACACAGAAACGATGAGAATTCATTGTACGCTACCACCTTCGCATTCCATTGGATGATTCATTTACAAATATCCTATCGCAATTAATATTACTAACAAAGAAGCCCCTTGACGCTTCAGACAGAATGACCACCATGACAAAAAAGGTATAACTCTAGGCAACACGCCGACGTGTATGAGCTTATTCATTACATTTTGTTTTTTTTTAAATTTTAGACCAAATGTTCAAAACCAAATGATTAAGTTCATGACTTCGTTTACTATTCTTAAAAGAATATAGATACAGATGGAAATACAGAAAGTAACGTTAAATGTTTATATCCTTGACAACTGATTTAAAAAATTATCAAGAATTTCAGAGGCGGCAGCTGTGGCAGGTTTCAGTCAAATATAGTAAGTCGGACTGTCGTTGATTTTGTGTGATGAACAAGACATGTGTTGGTCATATCTCTAAGAACGGTGTTTGTAACCTGTGTGACCGTTGGCTCAGACCACAGCATTACTTCCATCCTCGAGTTTCGTTATGCCGACTAGGAATGTTATTTCCCTCTATTCTATAGACAGACAGATGCGGCACTGCGATAATCCAAACAACTGATGATTTTTGCGAGCGATAAATGTTTTGAATTAGCGAACGAAATTCAACTGAACAAATCTCAAGTAAAGTGAAGGAATTTGTTTTGTTCCTTGAGACAATCTTTTTATTTTTGTTTCTATGATTGATTTCCCTAAAAATGTTGGCAACTAATCCACAAAAATGCATTAGTAACTGATAATATCTGTATTATACACGTTTGGTGTACGACTGTGTGTGTCTGTCATATTTATTCATTTCATATGATAAATCAATCTTCCATACTTCTTACGCATACTCTGATGGCTTAATCAGTATAGGTACTAAAGAAATGACAACCAACACAAAGGTAATTCCTTCAATGACTTCCTGAAGAGCCAGGCATCGATGATGAAAGAAAAGAAGAACGAGCAACGAAAATACAGCCGGATTCTTCTGTCGGAAGACTCCGTGACAGATGCGCGCTAAGTACTTTCTAGTATTGTCCTATTGAAAGAGTGCCAGCGATTGATTGTCATTAAAAGCGCACGGCTACATGCTGCAGTATATCATACAGATATCTCTGTGCATTCCTATTGTCATCCATATTACGTCAAGGGAAACGATGACGCAAGGAAATCGCTTCCAACCCTTACAACCCCATAATCACAACCCTATAATAAACATTCCGGTGTACATGCATCGCTTTAGTTTTTATGTGGAATTTCTTTCTTTTGAACATGACAAAACTTGTCATTAAAGTATCACTATCTCTCATTCATAAGTATAAAATGCAAATCTTCACGGAAAGTGAAATCAATTGAATGTGCTTCAATAAAAGTTACCCACGAGACGATGTCTCCAAATAATAAAAGTTACCCACGAGACGATGTCTCCAAACAATAAAAGTTACCCACGAGACGATGTCTCCAAATAATAAAAGTTACCCACGAGACGATGTCTCCAAACAATAAAAGTTACCCACGAGACGATGTCTCCAAATAATAAAAGTTACCCACGAGACGATGTCTCCAAATAATAAAAGTTACCCACGAGACGATGTCTCCAAATAATAAAAGTTACCCACGAGACGATGTCTCCAAATAATAAAAGTTACCCACGAGACGATGTCTCCAAACAATAAAAGTTACCCACGAGACGATGTCTCCAAATAATAAAAGTTACCCACGAGACGATGTCTCCAAATAATAAAAGTTACCCACGAGACGATGTCTCCAAACAATAAAAGTTACCCACGAGACGATGTCTCCAAATAATAAAAGTTACCCACGAGACGATGTCTCCAAATAATAAAAGTTACCCACGAGACGATGTCTCCAAATAATAAAAGTTACCCACGAGACGATGTCTCCAAATAATAAAAGTTACCCACGAGACGATGTCTCCAAACAATAAAAGTTACCCACGAGACGATGTCTCCAAATAATAAAAGTTACCCACGAGACGATGTCTCCAAACAATAAAAGTTACCCACGAGACGATGTCTCCAAACAATAAAAGTTACCCACGAGACGATGTCTCCAAATAATAAAAGTTACCCACGAGACGATGTCTCCAAATAATAAAAGTTACCCACGAGACGATGTCTCCAAACAATAAAAGTTACCCACGAGACGATGTCTCCAAACAATAAAAGTTACCCACGAGACGATGTCTCCAAATAATAAAAATACTAAAATTTGTTTGAAGATTTAAGAAATTTAAATAGTTTGTATTTCAGTTTGAAAATAATAATAAACTCTTTGTTTTTAAATTAAACCTTGTCGTACTCATAGCAGCGTTTTTGTGTGTAGTACCGTATGCCACCTAATAAAATACACGCAAGTTAACGATACCTCGGGTTAATCAGGAGTTTTCCGAACTCTAAAACACACAAGTTTGTTTTGCCATCTGAAGCACTGTATGCATGTGTATTACTAGTAAACCATAGATGTGCCTACATTGCATTAAAATGTCACTTCAAAAATGACAAATGCTGGAAGACGGTAATCTTCCTTAATTGTTTCAAGGCGGTAAGACATATAAACAAGTAACTGTACGTGTTATCCATCTTACTATTTCTAGGTTAATGCATGCCGTTTCTGAACGAAATCGGCATGTCGACGAGCGTTCCACATAATCAAACACTACCAATAAGTTGAAATCTATCTGAAGTCTTTAATTTCCTGTTCAAGTAAAGTCAGCAAAGAAGGCGTTACTTTAAGGTAAGTATTGTGGTAAATGTCATTTTTTAATCTTTTTTAGTGACGACTACAGTTAGAACCTCAATTTTTCAAAGTTCAGCTCGCACTCACGTTTGCTAGGATACGAAATGGACAAAGCATTTAACACTGAGAAAGATGATACTTCGTGACTTACCCTTTACTAAATCTTCCTTCAGCACATTAACGTGACTTACCCTTTACTAAATCTTCCTTCAGCACATTAACGTTACTTACCCTTTACTAAATCTTCCTTCAGCACATTAACGTGACTTACCCTTTAGTAAATCTTCCTTCAGCACATTAACGTGACTTACCCTTTACTAAATCTTCCTTCAGCACATTAACGTGACTTACCCTTTACTAAATCTTCCTTCAGCACATTAACGTGACTTACCCTTTACTAAATCTTCCTTCAGCACATTAACGTTACTTACCCTTTACTAAATCTTCCTTCAGCACATTAACGTGACTTACCCTTTAGTAAATCTTCCTTCAGCACATTAACGATACTTACCCTTTACTAAGTCTTCCTTCAGCACATTAACGTTACTTACCCTTTAGTAAATCTTCCTTCAGCACATTAACGTTACTTACCCTTTACTAAATCTTCCTTCAGCACATTAACGATACTTACCCTTTACTAAGTCTTCCTTCAGCACATTAACGTGACTTACCCTTTAGTAAATCTTCCTTCAGCACATTAACGATACTTACCCTTTACTAAGTCTTCCTTCAGCACATTAACGTTACTTACCCTTTAGTAAATCTTCCTTCAGCACATTAACGTTACTTACCCTTTACTAAATCTTCCTTCAGCACATTAACGTTACTTACCCTTTACTAAATCTTCCTTCAGCACATTAACGTTACTTACCCTTTACTAAATCTTCCTTCAGCACATTAAATTTGTCAATGAATTTGGCAGTACTTCTGGCTATAGCTTCATTCCCGGTAACTTGAAAGTCAAATCGACACTGTACATTTTCCCCACACATTTCCTCAGTACCATTCCGTACTGGCAACACATCAGTATCACTGAACGTTGGTATAAAGTCATTTGCTTGACGAACAGCACTTGAAAATAATGACTGGTTTTGGATTACTTCCCCTTAAAAAGAAAGAAAAAGAAATGAGTTGAATGATAGCATCTGAGTTTTTGAAGTCACAATGATGAAGCGATAATTCGGCAGTGCACGATTAGTGATAGATACACATATACAATATTGAATATTTCTTTCCTTCCTGACTTTCTTCTGCCTCTAACACGTTTTTAGACTGATGGAAGTTGTATTCGATTTGAAAGAGTTGAAATAACATTGAAATCCCCATTCCTGTCTTATAATGTTTCCTGATCTTCAGTAAAATGAGTACCTGTATGTATCAAACATTAGTTTATAGATATAAGGTAAGAATAGACATACTTTCGCTTATATTTATCCCTCAGGCCCTGATGATTAACCGATAGTAATTGTATTTCAGCCACAGCTGTCGATCAATAATAGGTATAAGAGGTCCATAAAAGAGATAAGAAAAAGAACAGAGACAGAAAGAGAGATTTGATAGAACGGAGAATGAACAAAAGACATCACTAGAGTGGTCACAGAGACATCCATTGACAGCTCGTATTTGTTGTTTCTTCCGAACGCTGAATAGGAAGTAAACATCAAGATATCATCAGTCAGAATGGCTGCCCGTGCTATAGAATTTCCTTGAGAATCTCTTCATTTCTTTTCGTGGGATCTTCGAAGATGGTAAAGTCTGTCTTTATCAATTTCGTGGGATCTTCGAAGATAGTAAAGCCTGTCTTTATTAATTTCATGGGATCTTCGAAGATGGTAAAGCCTGTCTTTTTCAATTTCGTTGGATCTTCAAAGATGGTAAAGCCTGTCTTTATCAATTTCGTGGGATCTTCGAGATGGTAAAGCCTGTCTTTATCAACTTCGTTGGAGCTTTGATGATTCTATTCCTTTTCCATTGGTGTGTAAACTTAGCGGTGATCTTTCTTACACGTTCCATTTCGAATGGACAATGTCTATATCCACACTAGTTTATCTAGTTTCGTAGACACAGACTTCACAATCCTACTCACACAATCCACAACACTTTCGAAGCCTGGAGTGTCTTCAAGTTCATGTATCCGGAGTGAATTATACTTCCGTGCTGCTCAAGATCGTTGTGGCGAGCTTCCATGGCGTCCTTGGAACACACACACTGTAGATCACTAACTTGTGTCTCTAAATTTCCATATTTCCAAACGTCTGGCGAAGATTATCGTTAGCTGGTAGAAAACCCTCCATTTTAGCTGTTCTTTCCTTCGCTTCCTCATCTTCGTGTAGCTGACAGGGATGAATTCTCTTCAGTCTTTCTTCCATTTCTTGTTCTTTGGTTTTAACATCCGATGTTCCTCCCATGCTCTTCTTTCTTCCGGCCATGTTTTCTTCAAATTATGTATAGTGTCAAGTGTCTATACATCTGGTGTATTGTTAACATAATCCAGGCAAAGAGGTATAGTGTGCTGTGAAGAGTAGGCACTCAGTAGGGAACCAAGTTTTTGCCCTACAGACGTATAAATAACACATCTCCAGCACTTAACAAAACCTGATCTTATGAACGCATGTGCAATAGCTAATTTCGTCCAGATTTCCAATAGTACACACAGAGTTTGCACATCGTGTAGACATCTAGCGTACATTGCACATACTGTAACATCTCTTATACCTTCTAAACAAATCAGGAATGTTTACACTGATACTTCAGTATTCATTTACATCTCATACAAAAATGTGATTTAATGGTCATCTTTAAAATGAAGTCACATACATATTTGTTTGTTCTATATCTCGCAACAATGTCGTGAAATTATTGGTCGTACAATACTTTGTAGAGATTGGTCCATTCATATGTACTGGTAGAGGTCGTGACGCTGCCCTGCGCCTTTAGATCCATAAGATTGAAACAACAATATATATTTATAAGATTTTACATTTGAAAACTACATTAATTAATTTGTGTTTTTGAAATATTTTTCGCTTGTAATACTTTATGAAAAGGTGTTATTCGCTTGTATGCCTTTTGTACAATCATAATGACACTTAGCATTACCTACTCCTGACGAAAATCTGAATGAAATATTCCTAGTAAATCATATACACCCACTTCAATTAAATATAATACGTCTTTTGTTATTATGGATTATCTTGTAATCATGTAACGAAATTTTTCATTAAAAGATAAAAGATGACTTACAAGTCATTCCAAACTTAAAGTGAACATCTTCCATGTTTGCGTTAGCAGCGAGTTGCTCTCCTGTCCGCGATATGAAGTCATCATTTGGGTCATCATTGTAGTTGCCAAGAAGACCGCGGAGATGACCTAAAAGAAAACAAAATTAAAACTGCTTTAAGTTTCTTAATCCAAGGGGGTTCTATAAGATACTGTAAATTTGTTAATTCTAGAGGTTCTATAAGATACTGTAAAGGTTGTTAATTCTAGGGGTTCTATAAGATACTGTAAAGATTATTAATTCTATGGGTTCTATAAGATACTGTAAAGATTGTTAATTCTAGAGGTTCTTTAAGATACTGTAAAGATTATTAATTCTAGGGGTTCTATATGATACTGTAAAGATTATTAATTCTAGGGGTCCTATAAGGTACTGTAAAGGTTGTTAATTCTAGGGGTCCTATAAGGTTCTGTAAAGGTTGTTAATTCTAGGGGTTCTATAAGATACTGTAAAGATTGTTAATTCTAGGGGTTCTATAAGATACTGTAAAGATTATTAATTCTAGGGGTTCTATAAGATACTGTAAAGATTGTTAATTCTAGAGGTTCTATAAGATACTGTAAAGATTATTAAATCTAAGGGTTCTATAAGATACTGTAAAGGTTGTTAATTCTAGGGGTTCTATAGGGTAATATAAATGTTATTTATGCTAGGGGTTCTATAAGATACTGTAAAGATTGTTAATTCTAGGGGTTCTATAAGATACTGTAAAGATTATTAATTCTAGGGGTTCTATAAGATACTGTAAAGATTGTTAATTCTAAGGGTTCTATAAGATACTGTAAAGGTTGTTAATTCTAGGGGTTCTATAAGATACTGTAAAGGTTGTTAATTCTAGGGGTTCTATAAGATACTGTAAAGGTTGTTAATTCTAGGGGTTCTATAAGATACTGTAAAGATTGTTAATTCTAAGGGTTCTATAAGATACTGTAAAGGTTGTTAATTCTAAGGGTTCTATAAGATACTGTAAAGGTTGTTAATTCTAGGGGTTCTATAAGATACTGTTGAAGTTTTTCATACGAGTGGTTCTATTTGCGCTACTTTCGAAGATAGAATAAAACCATTAAAACAGAGAGACACATAGAAAATATAAATCAATAAAGAAAACAAATCTTTTCCAACACTTCCGATATTGCATCAAGGTTTTAAACTTTAACGTGTAGTATAAATATGTTTTTACCGAAGTTTTTCACCAGGAATGTTTTAACACGCTCGGGAAATCCGGTCTGAACTGAACTGATGACATGTAACTGCTGTTACGTAGAATTCTTGATGTAGAGATCACTATACCTTTTTTCCATTTCTGTTAATTTGTGTTTTTAGATTGCTTTCCGATGAAAAGAGGCCTTAGCCCGAACCTTTGGATAAGAGACGCAAACCCCTATCTCGTGTACCTTGTGAGGTCTAGTTAATGTTTCTAGGCCGCTTGGATGTAACAGCTGTAGAACGACTTTGTTAATCATTTATATAAATTATTTGTTATTTCCTTGATGTAGAGTCTGCCCAGCTATATTTCAGATTTGGTTTGTCTAATTAACTTCGTATTACAGCAGATGTTGACGCTAAAAAATATCCTCTTCCCTTCCAACACTTTTCAATCTTTCAAGAATTTGTAATGATGAAACATGTGTTTCTTACATTTTGGTATTCCGTTGCATCAGTGGGTTTGATGTAACACAAAGCTAATAGCAGTATCGGTCAGAACGAGCATACATATAAGATTACCTTTCATCCGATCGTCCCCAACCACGACAAGGACGTTGATAAGGTCGGATGTCACATCCATGGATACAGACAGACCTGTAGATTCTAACACCACCAATATATTGTCTGTCGTTTCGTCTGTCCTACTTTTATATACTGATAAATCTGTAACAAATTTAATATGATTAATACCAAGACGTCCATAGTAAATACCTAACAAATGATCAAACATTTATTTAAAAATAATAAGAAAGGAACCAATGGTGACGCGGATCTTCCTATAAACTGTCCAAGAATGTAACAGCCGTTCTTTCTCATCCTTGTAATACTGATCTGTCCAGGGCAATACATACACATTTACTGGATGTGTATTATACATCTCCTGGTGTAGCCTCGCCAGTAATACCAGAAACTGTGCCAAAGGTACTATTTACAGAAAATACGTAACAAATGTTCGTTCACAGATAAATCATTTCGTTAAGAAATATTTGTGTATGAACTTCATCTTTGACCTGAATTAGGACATAATTCAAAACAAAACAAAATTCGGTCACTTTGCTAATCTTCTGTCGTGTTTATATATTTTAGTAAATCTATAGTTGTTACAACAAAACCTGTGTGTTCACTGATGGGAAGTTGTTGTTACTTGTACAACAAAACCTGCCTGTTCACTTATAGGAAGTTGTTGTTACTTGTACAACAAAACCTGTGTGTTCACTTAGAGGAAGTTGTTGTTACTTGTACAACAAAACCTGTGTGTTCACTTATAGGAAGTTGTTGTTACTTGTACAACAAAACCTGTGTGTTCACTGATAGGAAGTTGTTGTTACTTGTACAACAAAACCTGCCTGTTCACTGATAGGAAGTTGTTGTTACTTGTACAACAAAACCTGTGTGTTCACTTAGAGGAAGTTGTTGTTACTTGTACAACAAAACCTGTGTGTTCACTTATAGGAAGTTGTTGTTACTTGTACAACAAAACCTGTGTGTTCACTGATAGGAAGTTGTTGTTACTTGTACAACAAAACCTGCCTGTTCACTGATAGGAAGTTGTTGTTACTTGTACAACAAAACCTGTGTGTTCACTTATAGGAAGTTGTTGTTACTTGTACAACAAAACCTGCCTGTTCACTGATAGGAAGTTGTTGTTACTTGTACAACAAAACCTGTGTGTTCACTTATAGGAAGTTGTTGTTACTTGTACAACAAAACCTGTGTGTTCACTTATAGGAAGTTGTTGTTACTTGTACAACAAAACCTGTGTGTTCACTGATAGGAAGTTGTTGTTACTTGTACAACAAAACCTGTGTGTTCACTGATAGGAAGTTGTTGTTACTTGTACAACAAAACCTGTGTGTTCACTGATAGGAAGTTGTTGTTACTTGTACAACAAAACCTGTGTGTTCACTGATAGGAAGTTGTTGTTACTTGTACAACAAAACCTGTGTGTTCACTGATAGGAAGTTGTTGTTACTTGTACAACAAAACCTGTGTGTTCACTGATAGGAAGTTGTTGTTACTTGTACAACAAAACCTGCCTGTTCACTTATAGGAAGTTGTTGTTACTTGTTACAACAAAACCTGTGTGTTCACTTATAGGAAGTTGTTGTTACTTGTACAACAAAACCAGTGTGTTCACTTATAGGAAGTTGTTGTTACTTGTACAACAAAACCTGCCTGTTCACTTATAGGAAGTTGTTGTTACTTGTACAACAAAACCTGCCTGTTCACTTATAGGAAGTTGTTGTTACTTGTACAACAAAACCTGTGTGTTCACTTATAGGAAGTTGTTGTTACTTGTACAACAAAACCTGCCTGTTCACTTATAGGAAGTTGTTGTTACTTGTACAACAAAACCTGTGTGTTCACTTATAGGAAGTTGTTGTTACTTGTACAACAAAACCTGTGTGTTCACTGATAGGAAGTTGTTGTTACTTGTACAACAAAACCTGTGTGTTCACTGATAGGAAGCTGTTGTTACTTGTACAACAAAACCTGCCTGTTCACTTATAGGAAGTTGTTGTTACTTGTTACAACAAAACCTGTGTGTTCACTTATAGGAAGTTGTTGTTACATGTACAACAAAACCTGTGTGTTCACTTATAGGAAGTTGTTGTTACTTGTACAACAAAACCTGCCTGTTCACTTATAGGAAGTTGTTGTTACTTGTACAACAAAACCTGCCTGTTCACTTATAGGAAGTTGTTGTTACTTGTACAACAAAACCTGTGTGTTCACTTATAGGAAGTTGTTGTTACTTGTACAACAAAACCTGTGTGTTCACTGATAGGAAGTTGTTGTTACTTGTACAACAAAACCTGCCTGTTCACTGATAGGAAGTTGTTGTTACTTGTACAACAAAACCTGCCTGTTCACTTATAGGAAGTTGTTGTTACTTGTACAACAAAACCTGTCTGTTCACTTATAGGAAGTTGTTGTTACTTGTACAATAAAACCTGCCTGTTCACTGATAGGAAGTTGTTGTTACTTGTACAACAAAACCTGTGTGTTCACTAATAGGAAGTTGTTGTTACTTGTACAACAAAACCTGTGTGTTCACTTATAGGAAGTTGTTGTTACTTGTACAACAAAACCTGCCTGTTCACTTATAGGAAGTTGTTGTTACTTGTACAACAAAACCTGTCTGTTCACTTATAGGAAGTTGTTGTTACTTGTACAACAAAACCTGCCTGTTCACTGATAGGAAGTTGTTGTTACTTGTACAACAAAACCTGTGTGTTCACTAATAGGAAGTTGTTGTTACTTGTACAACAAAACCTGTGTGTTCACTTATAGGAAGTTGTTGTTACTTGTACAACAAAACCTGCCTGTTCACTTATAGGAAGTTGTTGTTACTTGTACAACAAAACCTGCCTGTTCACTTATAGGAAGTTGTTGTTACATGTACAACAAAACCTGCCTGTTCACTTATAGGAAGTTGTTGTTACTTGTACAACAAAACCTGCCTGTTCACTGATAGGAAGTTGTTGTTACTTGTACAACAAAACCTGTGTGTTCACTAATAGGAAGTTGTTGTTACTTGTACAACAAAACATGTGTGTTCACTTATAGGAAGTTGTTGTTACTTGTACAACAAAACCTGCCTGTTCACTTATAGGAAGTTGTTGTTACTTGTACAACAAAACCTGTGTGTTCACTTATAGGAAGTTGTTGTTACATGTACAACAAAACCTGCCTGTTCACTTATAGGAAGTTGTTGTTACTTGTACAACAAAACCTGCCTGTTCACTGATAGGAAGTTGTTGTTACTTGTACAACAAAACCTGCCTGTTCACTGATAGGAAGTTGTTGTTACTTGTACAACAAAACCTGTGTGTTCACTTATAGGAAGTTGTTGTTACTTGTACAACAAAACCTGCCTGTTCACTTATAGGAAGTTGTTGTTACTTGTACAACAAAACCTGCCTGTTCACTTATAGGAAGTTGTTGTTACATGTACAACAAAACCTGCCTGTTCACTTATAGGAAGTTGTTGTTACTTGTACAACAAAACCTGCCTGTTCACTGATAGGAAGTTGTTGTTACTTGTACAACAAAACCTGTGTGTTCACTAATAGGAAGTTGTTGTTACTTGTACAACAAAACCTGCCTGTTCACTAATAGGAAGTTGTTGTTACTTGTACAACAAAACCTGCCTGTTCACTGATAGGAAGTTGTTGTTACTTGTACAACAAAACCTGCCTGTTCACTGATAGGAAGTTGTTGTTACTTGTACAACAAAACCTGCCTGTTCACTGATAGGAAGTTGTTGTTACTTGTACAACAAAACCTGCCTGTTCACTGATAGGAAGTTGTTGTTACTTGTACAACAAAACCTGCCTGTTCACTGATAGGAAGTTGTTGTTACTTGTACAACAAAACCTGCCTGTTCACTGATAGGAAGTTGTTGTTACTTGTACAACAAAACCTGTGTGTTCACTGATAGGAAGTTGTTGTTACTTGTTACAACAAAACCTGCCTGTTCACTTATAGGAAGTTGTTGTTACTTGTACAACAAAACCTGTGTGTTCACTGATAGGAAGTTGTTGTTACTTGTACAACAAAACCTGTGTGTTCACTTATAGGAAGTTGTTGTTACTTGTACAACAAAACCTGTGTGTTCACTTATAGGAAGTTGTTGTTACTTGTACAACAAAACCTGTGTGTTCACTTATAGGAAGTTGTTGTTACTTGTACAACAAAACCTGTGTGTTCACTTATAGGAAGTTGTTGTTACTTGTACAACAAAACCTGTGTGTTCACTTATAGGAAGTTGTTGTTACTTGTACAACAAAACCTGCCTGTTCACTTATAGGAAGTTGTTGTTACTTGTACAACAAAACCTGCCTGTTCACTTATAGGAAGTTGTTGTTACTTGTACAACAAAACCTGCCTGTTCACTTATAGGAAGTTGTTGTTACTTGTACAACAAAACCTGTGTGTTCACTTATAGGAAGTTGTTGTTACTTGTACAACAAAACCTGTGTGTTCACTGATAGGAAGTTGTTGTTACTTGTACAACAAAACCTGTGTGTTCACTGATAGGAAGTTGTTGTTACTTGTACAACAAAACCTGTGTGTTCACTTATAGGAAGTTGTTGTTACATGTACAACAAAACCTGTGTGTTCACTGATAGGAAGGTGTTGTTACTTGTACAACAAAACCTGCCTGTTCACTTATAGGAAGTTGTTGTTACTTGTACAACAAAACCTGTGTGTTCACTGATAGGAAGTTGTTGTTACTTGTACAACAAAACCTGTGTGTTCACCGATAGGAAGTTGTTGTTACTTGTACAACAAAACCTGTGTGTTCACTTATAGGAAGTTGTTGTTACATGTACAACAAAACCTGTGTGTTCACTTATAGGAAGTTGTTGTTACTTGTACAACAAAACCTGCCTGTTCACTTATAGGAAGTTGTTGTTACTTGTACAACAAAACCTGTGTGTTCACTGATAGGAAGTTGTTGTTACTTGTACAACAAAACCTGTGTGTTCACTGATAGGAAGTTGTTGTTACTTGTACAACAAAACCTGTGTGTTCACTGATAGGAAGCTGTTGTTACTTGTACAACAAAACCTATGTGTTCACTGATAGGAAGCTGTTGTTACATATACAACAAAATCTATGTGTTCACTAATAGGAAGCTGGGGTTGCATATACATCAAAACTTGTGTGTTGACTGAAAGGAAGTTGTTACATTTACTACAAATTCTGTGTATTCAAAAAATTAATCAGATCGAAAAAAAAATTGGAGAGCATGGTTGAGTTTGTATTCGTGAGAAAAATCTGATCTCGTATGGCATATGGCTTCCATGTGTTCATATGATGTTATGTGTTGTCATGTAAAGAAAAGCAATAAGCCTTTCAACCATAAGGCGAAGACATGACATGTACATGACTTTTACAACGGTTAGTAATGTGGTTTATTTTGCTAGAGAGTTAATTGGCATATTTTGTTTCAAACAAACTTTTCTCTTTATATTCACATTAAAGGTGTGTCTTTAGCCAAATACCCGGAACAAGCGAATTAATGAAAAGAGCATCAAGCATATTAGTGACAGGTCAACTTCGATATAAAAAAATCTATAAAACCTGCAATCTAAAATAACATAATATCATTGTTTATTGCGGCGGTGGCCTAAAACATATCGACACTAATGTGTTGCGTTTAGAAACTAAGATATCGATGTTTATTTGAATATGTAAACTCACTAAATCTATGACATTGAAAGTCACGAAAATCACTTACACAAACCTGACAGACCTTTAATCTAGCACGTCGCTAGTCATATATCTATTAGAAGGTTCTTACCTTTGAACTGTGTAACTGAGGTAGATATTTGTTGTGTGACAAGGAGACCATTGATCAGGATCCGTGACACTGTGTCGGTGTCACTATATACCTCAATTACGTCAGACACTCCCCTTGTCGTCATAGCAACGCCCGAAAAAATACTGGCGTTCTGATAGTTACCTAAGATAGAAAGACAAGCATTTAAACATATATTGCACAAATATGCTTATCACATATAAGACCTGAGATTTATATCAAAACCCTAAATCGAATCGAACATCGATCTTAACAACACATGAAAACTGATTCCTATTTATATGAAGAACCTCAAACAGAACAGGAGACAGCATTGACTACAGCCGCCCTAACTGCTGTTAGATGATACATTGTTTTAATTATTATCATCCGGCACATCCGGTAATGGCGAGTTCAAATGCATGAAAATTCACTTTTAAAATCTTTGCAGTACCTTTTTATATCAAATAATTCTTAAATTGTGTCGTATATCGTTTAAAGACAATTCATCGTCTGTTTATCTTTAAAAATATTGGCAGATCGGTCAAAAAATCAATTAAGATATTGGCAAAGATTCTGAATGATGTTTACAGAAATGGAAAGAAACGTCCTTTTTAATGTTACTTGTTATTTTTGTCATATGGAACCAGGACACAATAAAAATTGTCTAATCCCCGTCGACAAGGAGGTACAATGTGTTCACTGTTTACACACTGAGATTATTATCACATTAAATAAAATGTAAATACATTGAAGCAAATAAAGGAAGGGGACCAGTTGTGTAATGTTAATGCACATAGACTGCTTGTATACGATAAAACGACAAACTGCTCTATCGTCAAACAGAAAAAGGTAAGAATAAAAGTGCTGACGTTACTCGGTGGCGTTACTGGATGGCTAGGCTTTTTAACGATTTCACTATAATACAGATAAACTTTCGTGAAAGTCAACTAATATGTTCGACACATAAATTAAAAACATAATGTGCGATTGTCTGCCTTGAATAGTGTTTCTAAGTGTTCCAGGTAAAAAGTTAAAAAGTTAAGACATAGCTTTGGTGTCATCCACTATTACTTTTGTACTTTAACTTATAATGACATCACCTGTAACTGTCCTTTATGTTACCTGTGGTTGTCATAGAAGTAACTCTCTTCTTAGAAAGTCACTCACCGGACAGTTAGAGGTAACTTGGCAGTGTATTAGGAAATGCCTTTATAAGGAGTTTCTGCACGTACCTGGGAAGAGCTATTTTACCAAAGAAAAAATCGACATGTCTGCAAAATATAGAATGAAACTCAAATTCGATGAAACTATAAGATGAACGTTAAACTATTTGTAAGTGCCGATTTAGGCTTTGGCCTCAAGCGGAGACATTGGGCTGTCCATATCAGTACCAAAACCGTCGCTGAGAGATGGTATCTCTGAACGCAAAACATGTTGTAAGCAAAAAACTATATCAAATCTAGGATGTCTTGAAAATGGAGACTGGTTTCTTCTCCATAACTGAACCAGGTGGATACACTACACTGTGTGAAATGAAATCCTGATGTTTTAGGATAATTACTATCGATATACCTTCTTCACACTGTTCATCTGTCTTATGAAGGTGAAGCATTCGAAACATTCTTCTCCTGGTTATATAGTAAAAATTCTACTTTATTAAAATCACCAACATGAAATGGTCAAGGGATGCAGAGAGCGGTAGTAAGCGTAACCCCTGGAGAACCGAGGATGTCTAGGTGAACATACGTTTGGTAATGTGTGAGGTAAGTTTTCAGGTAAACTCACCTTTCATATCCTGCGCCTGCACAGAACGAACTTCAACCACTACTCCATTCGAAATGTCTTCTACCAAAATAAAATCGCCTAGACCGTTAAATGTGTAGTTTTTCCCGTCTAGTGTGGTCAAATGTGGATCACCCGCAGCTTGGGCTACAATAACATGCAACCGTAAGGTTAATAAGTTCATTCGGTATTCCATCTAGCAATGTAACTTTTTAATGTCTTTGTACGTTATCGTTACGTATGTTTAATCATATCGTATCTTAATTGATGCTCATAAATGGCATAGATATAATGAAGAATTTGAAAATACGAACCTGCTTTGGGTGGTTCATACCCTTCATATGTAACGGGAGGACGTTTCTTTTTAAATAATTGGCACATGTCAGTAGAATCAGAATATTGACAACAATGTAATGAAGAGAGGAGATCGTCCTCAAAAAAGGAAAAATAAGGCACTGCGCCGTCTTTCTGAGATCGCACAGTATAGCGTAATGAGCTCCCGCCTCCATTACTGTCACGAATGTCAATTAAATCCCCAGAATCATCATAACAACACGACACACCGGTACTCGATTCACTGAAAAATCGAAATTCTGTCATAATCAAATTTTCTCCAGCAGTAACGGTATTGTGTTGAAAGATAACTAAATTATACAGTACCAAACTGCCATCATAATTAACATTGATCTCGAAATATCATTCCTATGAACAGAATGTCCACCTCTTCACCTCCATTATATGAACACAATATCAAAATTAAATTCTTAATACTGATCGTTTATAAAAAGAAATTTTAATCCAACAGTATTTCAATTATTAGATAAAAATATATTCTAAAGATGACGGTAAATATTAGATCTTGGATTTCTTTTTACTTCAAATCACCAACGAAAGTGGTTAGTAAAGCAAAGGCTCGGGTGAGCTAAAAAGCAAAACATATGCTTAAACATACCTTTGCAGAATCCGTAAAAAGCATTGAACAGCACCAGGTTTGTAAATACAATTTGTAGATTTATTTAAATTGTCCAATCTACAAAGGGGATCAGATGCGAACCGTCCCGTGTCCCGTGACGCTTGTTTAGCAATGCTTGGACATGATAGATTGTTACTACTAATGCTTGGCAAGAGGTTGTCCGTAACATTCCAGGTACTACACATTAATGAGGACCAGTTGGCATTAACTCGTACCGGGAAAACATCGGACCACACCGCCGCCGGTAAACTGAAATAGCAAGAAAAAACAGCAATAATTTCACTTTAAATCGGGACATGACACAATGGTAGAATCCCCGAGCTGAAAAATATGTAATAACTATGACCGATGTGATGTACAAAACAAGAGTCCTAAAGAGCCTGTATCACTCAACTGGTTTCATTTTGCTGACAGCATAATTCAAACTTATCTATTTCATGATTGCGCAGTTCCCAACAGGCTTGAGTGGGGTCAAACCTATCGTTTATTCAAAATTGGTTCCATTTCCCCTCTCAATTCATTTTGACCGTATTTCAACAAATTCCTGTGATTCCGATAAAGCGAAAAGGACTTTATCGAATTTGTTATATATAATCTATAAGACCCCTCCAATAGGATATAACTTGCATGTGCAACTAGAATACTAGAACCATGTTTTATGTTAAATATCTCTGATATATAGAAACAAATCCATTAATTATTCCAGGACAGGGGAAGTAACTATTGCAATGTTATGGAAAGTATTTGAGTTATTTTTAGGGATGAAGTAATTCACTTCCTGTTCATAGTATAGAACATATTATATATTTTCTGTGATTTGCAGTTAAGAAGGAAATGTATGTACGTTTGTTACGAGGGTAAGGACGAATATTGATGAGGGTGAATTGCACTTGAGTTATACAGCGTTCAAGCAAAGTAGTGTGGCGTACAAGTGCGAATGTTGTTCATTTTAGCCTGCAACATCAAAGCGCACGGCCAAATTTTCTTCTTGTGTGCGTGTTCTTTTTGAGTGTTAACAATAAGAATTATCGAAATGTTAAGAGTCTTCTTGTAGGTGTTTAAAAGATGTTCTGTTTAGTGAGCGTAACAGTAAGATTTCTAGTTAATGTTGCTAATATAACAAGGCTTTCCAGAGCTTGGCTTATTAAGTTTTCTGTCTGGTTTTTAATCCTTGACGACTTTTGTCACGTGCCTATTAACTCATGTGTTTAAAATGTTTGGATACAAGCACATTGAGGTGTACACTTGGGAGGAAAAAACGTGAATACACGTGTTATTTGGAGATGAAGATATTAACTGATACTGTTCTATTGGATATTTGCCGACAGGCACAGCCAAATGTATCTGGGTGTTGAGTTATTGTTGATAAAGGGATGTATATCCTGTTCATAGTGTAAAACAGACCATGATGTCACAACTGGCCTACAGTTCCTCTAAAGTTCACCAATTGGTTTTAACAATGTATTCTTCTGAGAAGTAAAAAAAACACATCCAGAATCAAACGTTTGTTCTCAAATGATTTTCTGAAATCACAGATTTAGAAAGTAGTTTTTAAGAAGCTGTAAGTTGTTGAACTTCTTTTTTCCGATACTATCGTCTAAACCTGTGTAACAGTAACTATCGTCTAAACCTGTGTAACAGTTACTATCGTCTAAACCTGTGTAACAGTTACTATCGTCCAAACCTGTGTAACAGTAACTATCGTCTAAACCTGTGTAACAGTAACTATCGTCTAAACCTGTGTAACAGTAACTATCGTCTAAACCTGTGTAACAGTAACTATCGTCTAAACCTGTGTAACTGTAACTATCGTCTAAACCTGTGTAACAGTAACTATCGTCTAAACCTGTGTAACAGTAACTATCGTCTAAACCTGTGTAACAGTAACTATCGTCTAAACCTGTGTAACAGTAACTATCGTCTAAACCTGTGTAACAGTAACTATCGTCTAAACCTGTGTAACTGTAACTATCGTCTAAACCTGTGTAACAGTAACTATCGTCTAAACCTGTGTAACAGTAACTATCGTCTAAACCTGTGTAACAGTAACTATCGTCTAAACCTGTGTAACAGTAACTATCGTCTAAACCTGTGTAACAGTTACTATCGTCTAAACCTGTGTAACAGTTACTATCGTCTAAACCTGTGTAACAGTAAGTCATTCATTTGATTTTAATAATCAGTTAATTTGTTGTATAAAACAATTGATTTCAGATAATTTGAGGACGAGAAACTACATACGTGACAGAGCGGCAAATTTAAAATGGCATCACGGCAAGTTATTTAAAAGATGTAGTAAATAGATAACTTCCTTTTCTGGATAAATTAAAATTTCTTCTCGTAGGTTGTAAATTTTGGTACCTATCTAAGCCCACTAGTTATAAAAGATCAAATTTCCACCCTACGACCTGAAATATAACTGAGATTCATTAAGAAACAGAGAATATCCTCTTTACAGTATTCTGCGATATTTTCGTCAGTAGTTACACTATCAATGAGTCCAGAAACTACAAAGACAATGGTTAAAATCTAAACAGGGACAATATTATCAAAAACAATTTAAAAACAAATTACGTAACCCTTTCCTAACCCTAAACAATAAAACGAACAAATTACATAACCCTAAACAATATACCTACATATCACATAACCCTAAACAATATACCTACATATCACATAACCCTAAACAATATATCTACATATCACATAACCCTAAACAATATACCTACATATCACATAACCCTAAACAATATATCTACATATCACATAACCCTAAACAATATATCTACACATCACATAACCCTAAACAATATATCTACACATCACATAACCCTAAACAATATACCTACACATCACATAACCCTAAACAATATATCTACATATCACATAACCCTAAACAATATATCTACATATCACATAACCCTAAACAATATACCTACACATCACATAACCCTAAACAATATATCTACATATCACATAACCCTAAACAATATACCTACAATCACATAACCCTAAACAATATATCTACACATCACATAACCCTAAACAATATACCTACATATCACATAACCCTAAACAATATACCTACATATCACATAACCCTAAACAATATACCTACATATCACATAACCCTAAACAATATATCTACACATCACATAACCCTAAACAATATACCTACATATCACATAACCCTAAACAATATATCTACATATCACATAACCCTAAACAATATATCTACACATCACATAACCCTAAACAATATACCTACAATCACATAACCCTAAACAATATATCTACATATCACATAACCCTAAACAATATACCTACACATCACATAACCCTAAACAATATACCAACATATCACATAACCCTAAACAATATATCTACATATCACATAACCCTAAACAATATATTTACATATCACATAACCCTAAACAATATATCTACATATCACATAACCCTAAACAATATATCTACATATCACATAACCCTAAACAATATACCTACATATCACATAACCCTAAACAATATACCTACATATCACATAACCCTAAACAATATACCTACATATCACATAACCCTAAACAATATACCTACATATCACATAACCCTAAACAATATATCTACATATCACATAACCCTAAACAATATATCTACACATCACATAACCCTAAACAATATACCTACAATCACATAACCCTAAACAATATATCTACATATCACATAACCCTAAACAATATACCAACATATCACATAACCCTAAACAATATACCAACACATCACATAACCCTAAACAATATACCTACATATCACATAACCCTAAACAATATATCTACATATCACATAACCCTAAACAATATACCTACACATCACATAACCCTAAACAATATACCTACATATCACATAACCCTAAACAATATACCTACATATCACATAACCCTAAACAATATACCTACATATCACATAACCCTAAACAATATATCTACACATCACATAACCCTAAACAATATACCTACACATCACATAACCCTAAACAATATATCTACATATCACATAACCCTAAACAATATACCTACATATCACATAACCCTAAACAATATATCTACATATCACATAACCCTAAACAATATACCTACATATCACATAACCCTAAACAATATACCTACATATCACATAACCCTAAACAATATACCTACATATCACATAACCCTAAACAATATACCTACATATCACATAACCCTAAACAATATACCTACATATCACATAACCCTAAACAATATACCTACACATCACATAACCCTAAACAATATACCTACATATCACATAACCCTAAACAATATACCTACACATCACATAACCCTAAACAATATACCAGTTAAAATATAAACTTTATTTATTTTACAACAATTGCGAAACAAGTTATGTCAACTTATACTAATCACTCTTGTTGGCCCGGCAGGTGGCCCCTTACCTCACGTCCGTTCCGGGAATCGAACCCCGGTCGGCTTGGTGAAAGGCGAGTGCGTTAACACTGCGCCACCGGACCACCCAAATATACCAGTTAATTACATCCTTGATTGCGTGACACATAACCAACGATTTTACAAATCGCAGACAATAAATAATACCACTTCAGATTATCAGACACGATCAGGTACAGCGGTCCATGATTTACTGATTAGATCTTGATCAGTCTGCTCATCATGGAACTAATGTTGGTACTTTTCACGTCTGATCACGGATATTCTCCTTGTCGTCTAATGTTCCAACCCAAGCCATACAAAGATACATCCATGTCTAACCCTTATCCCTAATATTCAAACAGTGGACATACCTCTCTTACCGTTTCATCAAGAGCGCGCCACTAAGTCATTTTTTGCAGTCGAAATCAATTAATTATCCGCCTAAAGGTATTGACCACACATAAATACATGTAATTTTTGCATATATTACATAATTATTTTGACATATACCGCCTATTTGGCCCAGACCGTCTGGGTCCTGGAAGAATCTCCATTTATACAAAATAAGTTGCTCTAAGCCTAAGGATAATTCTGGCAGAATTAGAACAAAATTCTGTCATTCCATAAGTTGATAAATTCCAAATATAAAAGTTTTAATTATGTGCCTCTATTCAGACCCAACGCTTACAAAAACAACAAAAAAACAAATTTATTAAAATTTCTTAAAATTCCCTTCCGTCTAACATGTTTCAAACCAAAATCATATCAATTACTCATGACAAGAAACGATTTCAGAAAACGTTGGCGTATAGCAGACGCCGAACGACAGACAAATGACGGACGCTTCGCCATATCATAAACTGAGCAGGTCTTCGAACCGATGAGAAAAAAGATAAATAAGCGATTATGAATGTCCTACATTGAGTCCCTACCTCCCAGGCACAGGATACTTCTCCCGGACACGAACAGCGGCGGTCTGGAATGACATCAGGGATTCCGGCAATACAAATGAGTTTAAACTTCCGTCGACATCCAATGGATTAATTATTGTAAAGTTCGGCGTGCCGTTATTATACTGCAAAATATAACAATCGAAGTGATTACAAATACTTAATGTAATTATATCTCACCATGCCATGCATTGATTATATTTAATGGTTTACTCATTATAATCATATATATGATATTTGTAAACTCGTGCACGTCCATACCCCTTCCAAGACACCAAGAAATAATCCATATCTCACGAACAAACATTTTCAAATTTTCTAAAGAAAATCGATTTAAATATCTTCAAAAGTCTGACATTATGCATTGCATTTTTCTTCTGGATATGAATATTTAAATAATTTAATTTAATATGAATCATTGAAAAAATACGGATTAGATAAGATCTTTTAAATCCAAACAATACGCATCCTATCTGAATGTTTTCAGTCTCAATCATACTTTGTGTAGATCGCCCGTTTATATACAGCAAAACACTTCAATGCACAATGGTTGTATTTTAGAATTCCGATTTTATCTATTTTGTATTGCTTTGTCATTCTTGTAATAACTCAAAGTTAATATTATAAATACAGGTACTGCAGGTCTGAGTTCCTAGAGCGAGTATTAGGAGAGCCCGACATTGATATACATTGTACAGGTAAGCCAGCGGTAGAGCTAATGGGAACTTGTTTTATCATCCCTAATGCCCAAACGTTGAGGGAAACGCCCGAAATTTGTTTAGTTTTGCATTTGAAGGGTATATACATAGATGTATTTATATAAAGTGCGTACAGATAAGTACAGTTTATACCAGAGAACACAATAAACATTTCCCAAATAAACAACTAGTCTGAACTGTCTGTTCAGTGCTGTATGTATGTCTTCAGATGTACTTCAGAATGTATCAAAGTAAAATTACAAAGCGTCATTATGTACACTAATATAAACCAGCATTTTCGATCAGCTGTAAAAGTGATTGTTCATCACATGCAATGCTGAATAAATAAATACTAAATACTGTGATATTTAGATAAATGTATATATGTATGATATAACAGTTGTTAGAGCTGGTTGTACATGTGTCGTTCTAACTCTAACCCATGATTATGCGAGGCCAATAGTGAAACATAAGCCAGAGAACACACGATGTAGCCCTGTGTGGGCAATGCAACCGTCGATTCATTACTGTTTTGGCAAGACAACTATTGCATGTTGTCCTTTGTGGGCAGGTCAACTGTTGCAGGCTGTGTGGGCAGCTGTTCTTGTTTGTTGTCTAATGAGGGTCATGTAATACAGTGTAGGCAGCTGTTTTTGTTGGTTGTCTAATGAGGGAAGTCATGTAATACAGTGTGGGCAGCTGTTTTTGTTTGCTGTCTAATGAGGGAAGTCATGTAATACAGTGTGGCCAGTTGTTATTGTTTGTTGTCTAATGAGGGTCATGTAATACAGTGTAGGCAGCTGTTCTTGTTTGTTGTCTAATGAGGGTCATGTAATACAGTGTGGCCAGTTGTTATTGTTTGTTGTCGAATGAGGGTCATGTAATACAGTGTGGCCAGTTGTTATTGTTTGTTGTCTAATGAGGGTCATGTAATACAGTGTGGCCAGTTGTTATTGATTGTTGTCGAATGAGGGAAGTCATGTAATACAGTGTAGGCAGCTGTTTTTGTTTGCTGTCTAATGAGGGAAGTCATGTAATACAGTGTGGGCAGCTGTAATTGTTTGTTGTCTAATGAGGGAAGTCATGTAATACAGTGTGGGCAGCTGTAATTGTTTGTTGTCTAATGAGGGAAGTCATGTAATACAGTGTAAGCAGCTGTAATTGTTTGTTGTCTAATGAGGGAAGTCATGTAATACAGTGTGGGCAGCTGTAATTGTTTGTTGTCTAATGAGGGAAGTCATGTAATACAGTGTGGGCAGCTGTAATTGTTTGTTGTCTAATGAGGGTCATGTAATACAGTGTAGGCAGCTGTTATTGTTTGTTGTCTAATGAGGGAAGTCATGTAATACAGTGTGGGCAGCTGTAATTGTTTGTTGTCTAATGAGGGAAGTCATGTAATACAGTGTGGGCATTTGTTATTGATTGTTGTCGAATGAGGGTCATGTAATACAGTGTGACCAGTTGTTATTGTTTGTTGTCTAATGAGGGAAGTCATGTAATACAGTGTGGGCAGCTGTTATTGATTGTTGTCGAATGAGGGTCATGTAATACAGTGTGGCCAGTTGTTATTGTTTGTTGTCTAATGAGGGAAGTCATGTTATAAATTGTGGGCAGCTGTTATTGATTGTTGTCGAATGAGGGTCATGTAATACAGTGTGGCCAGTTGTTATTGTTTGTTGTCTAATGAGGGAAGTCATGTAATACAGTGTGGCCAGTTGTTATTGTTTGTTGTCTAATGAGGGAAGTCATGTAATACAGTGTGGCCAGTTGTTATTGTTTGTTGTCTAATGAGGGAAGTCATGTAATACAGTGTGGGCAGTTGTTATTGTTTGTTGTCTAATGAGGGAAGTCATGTAATACAGTGTGGCCAGTTGTTATTGTTTGTTGTCTAATGAGGGAAGTCATGTAATACAGTGTGGGCAGCTGTTATTGATTGTTGTCGAATGAGGGTCATGTAATACAGTGTGGCCAGTTGTTATTGTTGGTTGTCTAATGAGGGAAGTCATGTAATACAGTGTGGGCAGCTGTTATTGATTGTTGTCGAATGAGGATCATGTAATACAGTGTGGCCAGTTGTTATTGTTGGTTGTCTAATGAGGGAAGTCATGTAATACAGTGTGGGCAGCTGTAATTGTTTGTTGTCTAATGAGGGAAGTCATGTAATACAGTGTGGGCAGCTGTTCTTGTTTGTTGTCTAATGAGGGTCATGTAATACAGTGTGGGCAGTTGTTATTGTTTGTTGTCGAATGAGGGTCATGTAATACAGTGTAGCCAGTTGTTATTGTTTGTTGTCTAATGAGGGTCATGTAATACAGTGTGGCCAGTTGTTATTGATTGTTGTCGAATGAGGGAAGTCATGTAATACAGTGTAGGCAGCTGTTTTTGTTTGCTGTCTAATGAGGGAAGTCATGTAATACAGTGTGGGCAGCTGTAATTGTTTGTTGTCTAATGAGGGAAGTCATGTAATACAGTGTGGGCAGCTGTAATTGTTTGTTGTCTAATGAGGGAAGTCATGTAATACAGTGTAAGCAGCTGTAATTGTTTGTTGTCTAATGAGGGAAGTCATGTAATACAGTGTGGGCAGCTGTAATTGTTTGTTGTCTAATGAGGGAAGTCATGTAATACAGTGTGGGCAGCTGTAATTGTTTGTTGTCTAATGAGGGTCATGTAATACAGTGTAGGCAGCTGTTATTGTTTGTTGTCTAATGAGGGAAGTCATGTAATACAGTGTGGGCAGCTGTAATTGTTTGTTGTCTAATGAGGGAAGTCATGTAATACAGTGTGGGCATTTGTTATTGATTGTTGTCGAATGAGGGTCATGTAATACAGTGTGACCAGTTGTTATTGTTTGTTGTCTAATGAGGGAAGTCATGTAATACAGTGTGGGCATTTGTTATTGATTGTTGTCGAATGAGGGTCATGTAATACAGTGTGGCCAGTTGTTATTGTTTGTTGTCTAATGAGGGAAGTCATGTTATAAATTGTGGGCAGCTGTTATTGATTGTTGTCGAATGAGGGTCATGTAATACAGTGTGGCCAGTTGTTATTGTTTGTTGTCTAATGAGGGAAGTCATGTAATACAGTGTGGGCAGCTGTTATTGTTTGTTGTCTAATGAGGGAAGTCATGTAATACAGTGTGGCCAGTTGTTATTGTTTGTTGTCTAATGAGGGAAGTCATGTAATACAGTGTGGGCAGTTGTTATTGTTTGTTGTCTAATGAGGGAAGTCATGTAATACAGTGTGGGCAGTTGTTATTGTTTGTTGTCTAATGAGGGAAGTCATGTAATACAGTGTGGCCAGTTGTAATTGTTTGTTGTCTAATGAGGGAAGTCATGTAATACAGTGTGGGCAGCTGTTATTGTTTGTTGTCTAATGAGGGAAGTCATGTAATACAGTGTGGGCAGCTGTAATTGTTTGTTGTCTAATGAGGGAAGTCATGTAATACAGTGTGGGCAGCTGTTATTGTTTGTTGTCTAATGAGGGAAGTCATGTAATACAGTGTGGGCAGCTGTTTTTGTTTGTTGTCTAATGAGGGAAGTCATGTAATACAGTGTGGGCAGTTGTTATTGTTTGTTGTCTAATGAGGGAAGTCATGTAATACAGTGTGGGCAGCTGTTATTGATTGTTGTCGAATGAGGGTCATGTAATACAGTGTGGCCAGTTGTTATTGTTGGTTGTCTAATGAGGGAAGTCATGTAATACAGTGTGGGCAGCTGTTATTGATTGTTGTCGAATGAGGGTCATGTAATACAGTGTGGCCAGTTGTTATTGTTGGTTGTCTAATGAGGGAAGTCATGTAATACAGTGTGGGCAGCTGTAATTGTTTGTTGTCTAATGAGGGAAGTCATGTAATACAGTGTGGGCAGTTGTTATTGATTGTTGTCGAATGAGGGTCATGTAATACAGTGTGGGCTGCTGTTATTGTTTGTTGTCTAATATGGGAAGACATGTAATACAGTGTAAGCAGCTGTAATTGTTTGTTGTCTAATGAGGGAAGTCATGTAATACAGTGTGGGCAGCTGTAATTGTTTGTTGTCTAATGAGGGAAGTCATGTAATACAGTGTGGGCAGCTGTAATTGTTTGTTGTCTAATGAGGGAAGTCATGTAATACAGTGTGGGCAGCTGTAATTGTTTGTTGTCTAATGAGGGAAGTCATGTAATACAGTGTGGGCAGCTGTAATTGTTTGTTGTCTAATGAGGGAAGTCATGTAATACAGTGTGGGCAGCTGTAATTGTTTGTTGTCTAATGAGGGAAGTCATGTAATACAGTGTAGGCAGTTGTTATTGTTTGTTGTCGAATGAAGGTCATGTTATACAGTGTGGGCAGTTGTTATTGTTTGTTGTCTAATGAGGGTCATGTAATACAGTGTGGGCAGCTGTAATTGTTTGTTGTGTAATGAGGGAAGTCATGTAATACAGTGTGGCCAGTTGTTATTGTTTGTTGTCTAATGAGGGAAGTCATGTAATACAGTGTGGGCAGCTGTAATTGTTTGTTGTCTAATGAGGGAAGTCATGTAATACAGTGTGGGCAGCTGTAATTGTTTGTTGTCTAATGTGGGAAGTCATGTAATACAGTGTGGGCAGCTGTAATTGTTTGTTGTCTAATGAGGGAAGTCATGTAATACAGTGTGGGCAGCTGTAATTGTTTGTTGTCTAATGAGGGAAGTCATGTAATACAGTGTGGGCAGCTGTAATTGTTTGCTGTCTAATGAGGGAAGTCATGTAATACAACATGTCCTGTGTGGACAGGTGTACTGCTGACAGTCCTAAGATATGATGGATGTCCTTTGAGGGCGATCATTGACCTAGCTGGCCCTATGAGGGCTACTTTATAATGTCTCTTCAAGTTGTTATATATTGATTGGAGCAGCTATCGTCTATGTTAAGGCTTTGTACATGGTATATCCCTGGGCATTTTGAGACTTGAATCCTGTGTGTTTTGGTGTCAGACATTGCCAGATTGACTCATTGACATACCTAGTGGGTTTCATTCCACTGTTTTAGGGAGACTGTGATATTTAAAATGTAAATAATAGCATTGTAAGAATGTGTTTGTTCATGGGGCACAGAATGCAGCAAAGACGTGTTAATATATATATATATATATATATATATATATACGTAATGTAATCAAGTCTTGTATATACATCAATGTGTTTTTGATGTTTAAGTCTTTATTTGTATTAGCCATGGTAGTCGTGCTCGTCCAGGTTGCAATTGTAGATACACACACTTTACTCGGAATGGACATCATTTATACAAAATTAGTTCCCATTAGCACAAAGATCCTTCTGACCGAATTTAGACAATATACTGTAACTCTTACGACGGAAGATTTTATGGAATGCTATAAATCCCTTTTAGATCCCGTTCCTCGGATCCTAACGGCCGAGTCTCCCAAGACTCCTACATTGATACCTCTGAAAATCTAAATGGATATCCAGTTTACTTAGTGTCGCTGCTGCTTTATGAGACATCCAGGATTTCTAATTAATCTTGTTTGACCGAATTGACCAGAACAGATGTATTTCAAAATACTGACGATACAAGAAAAAGAAAAATAGAAATAAAATGCTAAATTTCCATTTCTTTTAAATCATTGCTGCAAAGCAACACTTTAACCATTTAATGACTTATATACATACTTCAATTTGCGATCTGCTTTCAAAAGAGAAATATATTACGTTAGGAATAAATTTATATGAAGTCATCAGTAACTTCCGGTCAAACTCGATTTTTAGTCATTCTTAAGATACTTGCACTTCCCTCTCTGTTAGACGTTCGTTGTCATTGGGTTTTTATATTGATTAATATCATTTTTACCTGATACCCCATCAGTTCTACAGTCATATTCTGACTAGATGAAAGACTTGTTGAGTTCCAATAGATCTCGACCTTGTTGCCGACGATCCATTGGTTGATTTCCTTTCGGACTACCTTTGGCGTCATTGTTGCTACGTTATCTGAAACGGGAAAATGTCATATATGTCATGTGATTTGTTTTATCAGTAAGTAATTAATCCTCGGCACTCTATCAAGTATTGCATTCTTCATTCAGAACTGTGTTAACCGGACAAAGATATAATATAAAACAGGATAAGAGGATTAAAACACTATACAATATCAATGGGATATCACTGACATCAGGGACCTACATTGTTATGGTATAGTTGTAAATAAAGGCGCATCTATTTAATATCAACTAGACTTGTCATAGACAATGTTATCGGACTTTTCATTCCATTGGTCCATTTATCGGATATGTAACCATTCAAACACAATAAACCCCGTTAACACTGAAAGCTTTTTAAAGTTTGTTCCCAAAATTAACACTTTTGAAATTTGACGATTCAAGAATACATGAAATTAACACTTTACACAATTCTTTCTTATCACTGTCGATAGAACTTCATCGCAGTACAAAATATCTTCACCCTGTGCTTCTCGTAGACTAAGGAAGGGCATTTAGAGAGCTTGTTATATAACTGTCGATAGAACTTCATCGCAGTACAAAATATCTTCACCCTTCTCGTAGACTAAGGAAGGGCATTTAGAGAGCTTGTTATATAACTGTCGATAGAACTTCATCGCAGTACAAAATATCTTCACCCTGTGCTTCTCGTAGACTAAGGAAGGGCATTTAGAGAGCTTGTTATATATCTTCACCCTGTGCTTCTCGTAGACTAAGGAAGGGCATTTAGAGAGCTTGTTCTATAACTGAACCCCTTGAATACTGTTGATAATTTTGAAGAAACCATTTGAAGATTTTAACAAAATTGTTCCCTGTGACCTTTGACCTAGGTGAAGGTCATTCAAATTGTCAAAGCTAATAGTTAATGACCCAGGAACCGGGACCCGGACATCATGTGTTATATCAAGGCACTACACATTGTAGAACTTGAGATATTTTCCTAAGTTTATTACTAAAACTAGCACTTCTGTATTTATACCCTTATCGAAAACCGGAAAGTGAATAAAATTAAGTACCAATATCAGATAACATCGGTAAGTCACGTGTGTATTATCTAATACAAGTAAAGCATACGTAGATTATCGTTTTGTATAGGAATAAAATCGATAAACTCGAGCATGTACTTGACAATATGCCAAAGGGTAAAATTATACGTTGATAAAGTGTAGCTTAAAACAAATTGTGTTACAGGAAATATCACTGGTGATGTACGTCACAAATTCTTTGTTATCATAAGATATACAGGTGACATACCATTTACATCAAGTGCTAAAATCTATATTATTTAGGAATGTTATCATCGTATTTCAGGCTGTAAATAGGGTTCAGATACTTTATATTATACTGAAAGTGTTGAGTGGTCACTTTCAGTGACAGATGTTGGAAGACTATTCCATTATACTTAAAGTTGGCAATGCAGGTTAAAAAGAATTAATTACTATGAAATAGCCAATGTTCTGAAGACGACTAGTTTGAATCAATAGCAGAACGTTAGACTGACTGATAAATCACCGTGTTTCTCCTGTTTTTATATACTTAAAACTGAAGTATCTTTGAGAATAAGTGATATGGACATCTTCTGTTTATTTTCGCATTTTCAAATTAAACTTCACTTTATGCTATTACCGACATGGCGGCAGACTAGTGGACATCACACGAAGTAGTATTTTATTTGTTGTACAATATCATGGCTCGTAAGTACGCAATTAAACTTTAATCTGTGCCAAGTCATTAATTAACTTCATAACGCTTAGGTAATAGCTACACACGAACATAATCCCTTTGTCTGACAGCGCCCTTTGTTGAAATACGTGACGTTCTGCTGCGGGGCGGAAATACCTGTACAGTACAAGTAAATAGCTTGTTCTAATAATGAAGTGTTATTGACTGTATTAACTTAGCTGTAAATCAAAAAGGTCGATTTATAAAAAATAGATTCATAAAGCATGTCAATCAACTATATTTGGGCATTGAAAGTTTTCTTTTTTCTTTCTTATCGTTTTATTTAAATTTGAGATAATTTAGCGCTTTTGGCCCCACCCATTCGACCTTCAGACCATACACGTTCAATTTGTAAATACCATTAAAGAACAATTCTTTATTAATGATTTTGATTTAACTTGAATTATTTCCGATGGAAAAATTAACAAATATGCTCAAAACTGGAAAACTTTTCATTCTTTTTTATCTGAGTGTTGAGAAGAAGATTTTGGAAATTTTAACTACATAATTGATAATAATCACTGGCATTGTGTTAGTAATCGGTCCAGTGATTTCCCCAGAAAAAGTCGAAAATCATTCAAGTTTACGACGCACGATGCACGACAAAAGGCGATCGCAATAGGTCACCACGAGATTTTGTCTCATGTAACAATTTAAAAGTGAGTCACAAGTCGGAACATAGCAGCGCTGTTTGTACAATAATATGAGTGTAACAGTATAACAGACCTGAATCGCTCACCTGTTCTGCAGTCTGCACAAAAGACTTGATTCGTTATATTAATTACAGAAATTCTAATCCTTAGGTAAGCTATAACATAAATACCCCGGTTCCTCCTCAGCCTGTAGAAAAAGTAGTTTGGACGCATGGCTGCTTTTGTTAAACTACTTTAAGAAATCAAGTAAACAAGTAATTGCCATGAAAACTAAGATTTTGTTTTGGCAAATTGTTATCTTCCGCGTATCTTACCGTGATACGTGGATGTTATACACTGTATGACGCAGTTATCGTTCCTTCTCAATGGTCATGTGACCTAAAAGTGGAGCAGCATTCAAAAAAATGTTAACCGGAGCAACCTGTTACCATATCACACTACTTGGTTCTTATTTCCCCTGGTAAGTTATTAAAAATAATGTATAGCCATATTTGGAAGCAATTGTAACTTGCTGTAGATAAGTTGATTTTTATCTACTAAACTACTAAAGTTTACACACTTTATTTAGATTCATTCGCATACTAGCACTGCACTTAGCTTTCTGATAAATATCATCAGATATATAAAATTAACGAAATTTATTGAATAATTGATGTTCACTTTTCTAAATCGCCTAATCCGGTATAGGCCATCGTCACCACTGACGATTCCTTAAGACGAAGCAGCACAAAGTTGCAGATTAACTCACTATTCGGATCTACTGTATTTCGTTCTACGTTGTATTATACCGTAATATTCACTGGGTTCCGTCGCTACATGAGTTATTCGAATCGCGAACAATTATAAGCATAACAAATTCATTCTCATCACATTTTGTGATGTTACCTTACAACTCATTATAGTGTTTTCCTGTTTTTTTATATTTGGAAGGGGAGGGGGTTGTAAACAAATGCAGATAATGTTAAGACTATATCGTTTCAATCATGTACTTACTTATTTGCAGAACAGTAGAATAATTCCAGCTTATGCCATAAGGATTTAACTTCAGTGTTACCTCCCCTGTTCTGAATATAGGCGGCAACACGCACTTGGCTGATACAAAGTTAATCACTGCACATTGAAATGTTGTGTTCGTTTGCACAATACGCGCCATAACATTGAGATCCGATTGGAAACACGGACCTGTGACATATAATTCCTCGCCGCCGAACATGAATCCCGTGTTTGGCACAATTTCGATTTGAACTGAAAAAAAAAGAAATGAAATACATTTTCTACAATAGGCATATTAGGATCAATGTTCTGACCATGCTGCGCTGTTGAAATTCTAGGAAAGATTACTAAGCGTATAAGCGTTATTAGTTTTATTGACCTCGTTATACGCTGCAAAATGTTTGATAAAAATAGCATGTGTGTACAAAATTCTGCAATTTTTATAAGCTTTATTCTAAATTTTCCCCCAAACTTAGTGTCAATATTTATTGGAATTTCCGTTCCTATAACTTACAGGTTTTGTGAACTGTTGAGATTTAACCGTCAATATTACTTACCGTCATGGTTACCATGGTTACACTGTACATCTCTAAATACTACTTACCATCATGGTTACAGTGTACATCTCTAATCACGGAACCAGATACACCAAAGATCCATATCCCCGGCTCGTCCACGTTACTGGTTCGTGTTAGATTGATGACTGCATCAGTCTGTGCTCCCTCCACTGTAAAGTAACTCACTCTGTCCTCTGAATTAAATCCGACCTACATGAACACAACAGATGGACACTGATAATATAAACTTTATAATAAAGGGGTAAATGTTCTGATAATATCATCTCTTCGCGAACACAACAGATGGACACTGATAATATAAACTTTATAATAAAGGGGTAAATGTTCTGATAATATCATCTCTTCGCGAACACAACAGATGGACACTGATAATATAAACTTTATAATAAAGGGATAAATGTTCTGATAATATCATCTCTTCGCGAACACAACAGATGGACACTGATAATATAAACTTTATAATAAAGGGGTAAATGTTCTGATAATATCATCTATACACTGTATTAAGTAACGATTTCTGCTGATGCTATTCATAATCCTTCAAAAAATTACAGTACTCCATTTCATTGATCAATTCTAATATTAACATGATGATTAGTCGAGTGAGGCAGTGGTAACATCTAGGTGATTTCCGGATTGGAAAGGAATGTGATAACCTGTCCGTCATTGCTTTGGTCATGGTGCTTTTGTTTTCTCTACAGTCAGACAACTCGGGCGCCTCATTCTGGGACAATAAGAGTAATATAAAGCGATAGCTTGTTTCACAATTGTAAAACACGGACGAATACGGTCATCTGACTAAAGAGACTTATAAATGATATAATAACGATAGTAGTGTTGGTAACAAAATGACTACATTCTTCATTTCAGTGTTCAACATTCCCACACAATCTCAGCTCTCTCAGTCGTAATGCGGGGACTCGAGATACAGGGCATATGTTAACATCAAGGACCCTGTTTAATCTTAAGGGCATATAAAACAATTGAACACAGCGATGACTTGTAAAAGTGGAAACCCTGAATGATCTCTCTCAAACGCAAATGATTAAAAATGTAAACGCAAATCAGTCGACGACAATAGGAAAACGGAAAAGCTAAACGCTGAACGATTGGCACTAACGCAAAAGCAGAACAGATATAGAAAACGTTAACTGAAGCACGATAGACCGGAAAAAGATCGACCAAAAACGTGAATAAAACAGAAGTTTACATAAGTGAGGAAAAAGTCTGCATTTTATCTTCATTTATATCGACATATAAGTCTTGAATTACAGATAATTCATTAACCTCTGTGACAAAAATCTACGATTATTTGCTCGCCAGCTCACTGAAAATACACTAAATAGATACAAAATACAGTTGCACGCTGCATTTACACTGCCTAACCCGTCCGATATTCCGGATACCGTACACAAACGGACACAAGGACAAAACGATCCTAAAGACAGACGGACGTAAATGCGAACAGAAAACGATCCTAAAGGCAGACGGACGTAAATGCGAACAGAAAACTACCCTAAAGGCAGACGGACGTAAATGCGAACAGAAAACTACCCTAAAGGCAGACGGACCTAAATGCGAACAGAAAACGATCCTTAACGCAAACGAAAACCGACCATTCGACAAGCAAACGTAACGCTTTTGGGAAGGGTGAATGCGAAAGGGTTCAGGGTCTGTATGAATCTGATTTACCGGTTTTCTTAGATATTAAAAAGAATCCTTGTTGCATGAAGGCGCATACACATTTTGAGCCCTTTTAACCAATTTCCCCCCATCGCTTAGACCCCAGTAGGGTGGAGAGCATATCGTTTCCATGTTCTGTTCATCTTTGGCTATTGAAGGTTTCCGCAAAATTTCATCAAAACTGGTTCAGGTATTTTTTTAGAAAAAGCCGAAAATGTTAATTGTTTATAGACGGACGGTACGACGTACGCCGGACAAAAGGCAACAGGCAACTTGTGACCTTGTGTAAGGTGGCCTTCACATATGTTTCTTTTTAGATGGCGATCATGTGTCCATCAATATATATTTGTTAAAGAGCCATTGAAATTTTACTGTCTCCTACAATAAGAGTTGTGTTATACCACAGGGTTATATAAAATGAGCTCAAATACGCTGTGAAGATATACATAAAATTGTAACTATTTTGTTCTAAATTAAAACCCACTTACCTGAGCAGGATTTCCTCCGAGTCCCGTGGAAGAGTTTCCACGGCTGTTAGATCCCGTTGTCCACTGAAGTTTGTTATAAAGAAAAAACACGAACGATTTCTCCTCGTTCGTAGCCAGCACTAGCTGAAAGGTGTTTTTCTGCAAAGCAATGAAAGGATATGCAATGTGATATGTATCGCTCACGTAGTTTTGTTTGGTAGGCATTGCTGTATCCAAACTACAAAGACGTCTAATGTCTCTGGCCAAATTTAGAGAACATATCTTCATCCCAACAGAACATAAGATGAAAGATTTAAAAATACACCCTCCTATGGTTGCTTCGGATAAATAGAATCTTGACAATCCTTCAGCAGAAACAGAAGCATTTTAAAGTCGATAAATTTAAGAATTATGTCCCGCCCCTCCGCCAACTGGGATTCGAGACACATCTTTTACACGAACCTTGTTCCAAAAGATGCTTTATGACCAACTTTGGTCAAGATCGGCTGAATCGTATATAACTATTAACGACGAAAGAGGCCGGGGGAGGAGGGGGAGACTGGCGTTCGCCGGTCATTCAGACCAGGTTATCTCAAGATTGGACAAAAGTCACACAAGTGAAGAACACTTTTTCATAATCTAGAGGGAGATACAGTAGAGTCAGACAATAAATTAAACTGCATCATACAGCTGTTTCGTCCTTCTAAGACTCGTCAGTGATGCTACACCATACAGCTGTTTCGTCCTTCTAAGACTCGTCAGTGATGCTGCACCATACAGCTGTTTCGTCATTCTAGGACTCGTCAGTGATGCTACACCATACAGCTGTTTCGTCCTTCTAAGACTCGTCAGTGATGCTACACCATACAGCTGTTTCGTCCTTCTAAGACTCGTCAGTGATGCTACACCATACAGCTGTTTCGTCCTTCTAAGACTCGTCAGTGATGCTACACCATACAGCTGTTTCGTCATTCTAGGACTCGTCAGTGATGCTAAGGGCCTAAAATTGAAGCCTAGGAGGTGTCCAAGGAAAACCATGGTAGAGCATAGCTGCATTTGTAAGTCAAACGTGTGAGTTATTTGAATTAAGTGTTCTATAAAGAGGTGTGGCTACTTTAAAAGACTGACTTAATCAACGTGTGCCGAAATCAAATATTACATATAACAGATATCTCGAAACGGACTTCACTTTTAAGGCATCAGTCAAATAGAAAATTAATAAACTGTCTCCAAATATTTCTTGAGAGAGTACAGTCGTTCGACCAAAGACGGACGGAGGGTATGGTTTGATTTTAGTGAAACTAATTGTTTTCATCACTGATCCCCTTCAACTCTCATCTAAATTATTTATCATCCTTCAGAAATTTCTTATTGAATTTTCTTACTAGAGGCCCATATAGCTTTCATCGCTCCTTTGAATATTTAAGATATCACATCTGTTCACATCTGTTTGCTGGCACTGTATATCCCACAATTTTGGCGGGACTTTGGCAATGAGAGGCTCTTAAAAAGAAAATGTTGTTTTATCTTAACGGTTACCGAGGTTAGTAGAAAATGTCCATAGCCTGTATATGATACCTCAAATTCTATTATCATAATGTATATGTTTACGTCTGTTGTTCCGTGATTCTTTCTTTCATGTTTTAGTCACTTCATTTCATTTTAGGTTTTAATCTAAAATCGATTATATACAATTAAATTCTTACCTTTAGCTCGCCAGAGTTGGAAGCTCCGTAGAATCCAACTTCATACCACGTGGCAATCAACATCCACGTAAATTCTTTCCTCAAAAAGAAATACTTCCGCACTTGTTCTGTTGCCCTTCTCAGAAGACTGGCGTCCGTTGTCTGTCTGTACGTCACATTTCCACCTTCCCGTTGTATGTCTATGTCGGCCCAGAAAATGGCTATCACGGACGTGTTGTCATTGAGAGGAAAACTTTGAGGTTTATAGGTCTTCTTTTCCTTTTTAAATGTCAACAGACCATTATTATTAACCTGAAAACATAAAAAAAGTTTGATAAAATGGATTTCCGGAAAAGTGCTTCAAATCAACCAATATTGATTCAATGATAATGATTCAATACAAATTAAATTCGTCCATGTATCACAAAGAACATCTAAATATTTCCCTTCTATATTTGAATTGTTTTGATTACTTTGATGTGTAAAAAGTAATTTACCATTGTTTCCAAGCATATATATGTTTTTAAAATGACACTCGTACTCTGCTCTTGTCATCTGCTTGTTTTTTCATCTTATCTAAAATCGAAATATCTACCTGTGGTAATTACGTCATCTTTTGTAATGGTTCAGGAGACATGTTTCTTTATAACGGAATAAATTCATTTAAATTTCCAAATTGATTTAGCCTTGATAATGCCTCTGTTGTGTCACTGATCTCACGTATATATCTATCCACGTGACACTATCGACAAAGGTTGGTTACGTTTTCTATGTTCGCTTTCGAGAGGTATCCGTTAGGTGGATTTCCAACCAGCAAAGGGACAACACAAAGGGGCAACACTAAGGCCAACATAAAGGGACAACACTAAGGACAGAACTAAGGACAACACTTACGCCAACACTAAGGGACAACACTAAGGGACAACACTAAGGACAACACTAAGGGACAACACTAAGGGACAACACAACGGGACAACACTAAGGACAACACTAAGGGACAACACTAAGGCCAACATTAAGGGACAACACAAAGGGACAACACTAAGGCCAACATAAAGGGACAACACTAAGGACAACACTAAGGGACAACATTAAGGACAACACTAAGGCCAACACTGAGGGACAACACTAAGGGACAACATTAAGGACAACACTAAGGCCAACACTGAGGGACAACACTAAGGGACAACACAATGGGACAACACTAAGGACAACACTTAGGCTAACACTAAGGGAAAACACAAAGGGACAACACTAAGGACAACACTAAGGCCAACACAAAGGGACAACACGAAGGGACAACACTAAGGACAACACTAAGGCCAACACTAAGGGACAACACAAAGGGACAACACTAAGGACAACACTAAGGGACAACACAAATGGACACCACTAAGGCCAACACTAAGGGACAACACAAAGGGGCAACACTAAGGACAACACTAAGGCCAACACAAAGGGACAACACTAAGGGACAACACAAAGGACAACACTTAGGGACAACACAAAGGGACAACACTAAGGACAACACTAAGGGACAACACAAATGGACAACACTAAGGACAACACTAAGGACAACACTTAGGGACGACACTATGACAACACTTAGGGACAACACTAAGGGACAACACAAAAGAACAACACTAAGGGACAACACAATGGGACAACACAAAAGGGCAACACAAAGGACAACACTAAAGGACAACACTAAGGGACAACACAAAGGGACAACACTAAGGGACAACACAAAGGGACGACCGCCATCTATTTTAACGGTCCTACGTACTGCCATCTATATCAACGGTTCTGCGTACTACTTTATATCAACTATCCTACATATCGCCCTCCCTGTAAACTGTCCCCCTTTCGCGCAAATCTAACTGGACTGCTGTGAATGACTCAGTCTATGATTTCGAATAAATAATGTGTGTATATTTTTCATGTTAAGTCAGATTGTCTACACATTTGGTATATATTATTACCATGATATGCCGCATTGAGGTGGTTAAAACGATATTTCGTATTTAAACCAATCAGATTTTTTTCTTTTCCTCCATAGCACAGAATGAAGGAGATATACTGTATCATTCTTAATAAAGAATTAGTATATAAATGTTAACTTCAAATATAGTTTACTATTTACATATGTTTAGGGTCATTTGTTGATTTTAAAAAAATGCGAAAAAAATATTTTGATTGTTCAAAACCGTGGTCATTTGTTCAGTGTTGAGCCAAATATGCACGAGATAGATTTCTCACTATCAAAGATAGGACACATTCGTGTGTGTGTGTGGTACAAAAAGTGGTGCACGTACATGCATATATGGATAAGTATTTCATTATTTTTTCTGTTTTTTTTTTCAAATAGGTAGGTCGTTCGCTCTGGACATCAAATATCTGATGATTGATAGTACTATAATGTCTCTTTCTTTTAATGTACATGTATCGTGTTAATTGTGATAATTAAATCGGAAGTAATATATTACGAAAAAACTAAAAACCATTACAGATACAGATGCTAATTAATTCAATGAAAAGATAAGCAAAGTCCAAATCCACCTCCTCCCCCACTTAATGATGTCATTTTATAAAGTAGGTAGTACGAAGGACAGACTGACGAGCTAGGGCAACATGGAAGGAAGAATTCACAGCGATAATACGGACACAGGGGACACCATTATTGTTACTCCCTGTAAGAGAACGAAGTATCTAGTCATACGGTATAGGAACCCCCGTAGACAAAAATAGTACCAGGTGATTTGTAGATTAAAACACTAGAACATAAAAATGCATTCAATAGAAGGTTAATTCCGATGGCCTATTCATTATTGAAGCTATCACTTGTGCTCGCCACAGAATTCCTCTGGAGATATCCTAATTACATTTACTCAGCGATGACAGGCTCCTGTCACTCTGCCCAGAGGTCGCACGCGTAAGTGAACCACACAGAAAAGGTGATCTCAAACTACATTCGAGCTTTTTCTGAACAATCTACCCACTGATATCATTCCTTGGGAAATATCTGAAACCTGTAATGGTTCCTATCGTTTTCTTGCATTTTACATAAAAAGTATGTTATATATTAGTTTGACATTAAAATCTTACTGTAGAAATTTGTATATAATCGTGCAAATTACATGATCTCCCATACATATATATATATATGTATTAGTTCTCTCATATTTATACAGACGTAAGCTACAAGATCTCCCATATTTATATAGACATAAGCTACAAGATCTCTCATATTTATATAGACATAAGCTACAAGATCCCCCATATTTATATTGACGTAAGCTACAAGATCCCCCATATTTATACAGACTTAAGCTACAAGATCCCCCATATTTATATAGACGTAAGCTACAAGATCTCTCATATTTATACAGACTTAAGCTACAAGATCTCTCATATTTATACAGACGTAAGCTACAAGATCTCTCATATTTATACAGACATAAGCTACAAGATCGCCCATATTAATATAGACACAAGCTACAAGATCCCCCATATTAATATAGACACAAGCTACAAGATCTCTCATATTTATACAAACGTAAGCTACAAGATCCCCCATATTTATATTGACGTAAGCTACCAGATCTCTCATATTTATACAGACGTAAGCTACAAGATCCCCCATATTTATACAGACATAAGCTACAAGATCTCCCATATTTATATAGACATAAGCTACAAGATCTCCCATATTTATATAGACATAAGCTACAAGATCCCCCATATTTATATTGACGTAAGCTACCAGATCTCTCATATTTATACAGACGTAAGCTAAAAGATCTCCCATATTTATACAGACATAAGCTACAAGATCTCCCATATTTATATAGACATAAGCTACAAGATCTCCCATATTTATAGACATAAGCTACAAGATCTCCCATATTTATACAGACGTAAGCTACAATATCCCCCATATTTATATAGACGTAAGCTACAAGATCCCCCATATTTATATAGACATAAGCTACAAGATCTCCCATATTTATACAGACGTAAGCTACAAGATCCCCCATATTAATATAAACACAAGCTACAAGATCCCCCATATTTATACAGACGTAAGCTACAAGATCCCCCATATTTATACAGACGTAAGCTACAAGATCCCCCATATTTATATTGACGTAAGCTACCAGATCTCTCATATTTATACAGACGTAAGCTACAAGATCCCCCATATTTATACAGACATAAGCTACAAGATCTCCCATATTTATACAGACGTAAGCTAAAAGATCTCCCATATTTATACAGACATAAGCTACAAGATCTCCCATATTTATATAGACATAAGCTACAAGATCTCCCATATTTATAGACATAAGCTACAAGATCTCCCATATTTATACAGACGTAAGCTACAATATCCCCCATATTTATATAGACGTAAGCTACAAGATCCCCCATATTTATATAGACATAAGCTACAAGATCTCCCATATTTATACAGACGTAAGCTACAAGATCCCCCATATTAATATAGACACAAGCTACAAGATCCCCCATATTTATATAGACGTAAGCTACAAGATCTCTCATATTTATACAGACGTAAGCTACAAGATCTCTCATATTTATACAGACGTAAGCTACAAGATCTCTCATATTTATTCAGACGTAAGCTACAAGATCTCTCATATTTATATAGACGTAAGCTACAAGATCTCTCATATTTATACAGACGTAAGCTACAAGATCTCTCATATTTATACAGACGTAAGCTACAAGATCTCTCATATTTATTCAGACGTAAGCTACAAGATCCCCCATATTTATATAGACGTAAGCTACAAGATCTCTCATATTTATACAGACGTAAGCTACAAGATCTCTCATATTTATACAGACGTAAGCTACAAGATCCCCCATATTTATACAGACATAAGCTACAAGATCCCCCATATTTATATTGACATAAGCTACAAGATCCCCCATTATTATACAGACTTAAGCTACAAGATCCCCCATATTTATATTGACATAAGCTACAAGATCCCCCATATTTATATAGACATAAGCTACAAGATCTCCCATATTTATACAGACATAAGCTACAAGATCCCCCATATTTATACAGACGTAAGCTACCAGATCCCCCATATCTACATTGACGTAAGCTAAAAGATCTCTCATATTTATACAGACGTAAGCTACAAGATCCCCCATATTTATACAGACATAAGCTACAAGATCTCTCATATTTATTCAGACGTAAGCTACAAGATCCCCCATATTTATACAGACGTAAGCTACAAGATCCCCAATATTTATACAGACATAAGCTACAA